ACACACACACACACACACACACACACACGCTGGCATTGGGTCCTGCCTTTGGGTAGAAGCCTGCTGGATATGGTCCCAAGGGCCAAGCTGTGGACAAAGCCACATGTGGGCTACCAGCCTCTGGGACAGAAGCACAAGTTTTACTGAGACCTGGGCAGCTAAATGAAACAGACTTGGTGGGCACCAGTGACTCACACTTACAATCTTAGCTACTCAGGAGGCTGAACTCTAGAGGACTGCAGTTGGACCATCCTATCAAGCACAAAATACTGAGTTCAAACTCCATCAAACACTACTACATTAGAAAAAAAAATCTATATAAATGGAACAAAAAACCAGTGGGGCTAGTCCCCAAAGACTGTCCCAGGAATCACCATCAGAAGTGTTCAGAGATCAGCAGAACCAGGCCTGAATTTATTCAGATGATCTCCATTTAGCTGAGGCAGTCCAAAAGAGGCTTCTCCATATTGGAAGGTCCCTCTTTTTTTCTTTTTTCTTTTCTTTTTTTTGGGGGGTCCGGTAGTGGGGCCTGAACTCTGGGCTTGGGCACTGTCCCTCAGCTCTTCAGCTCAAGGCTAGTGCTCTACCTCTTGAGCCACAGCGCCACTTCCGGCTTTTTTCTTATGTGATGCTGAGGAATCGAACCCAGGGCCTCGAGCATGCAAGGCAAGCACTCTACCACTGAGCCACCTTCCCAGCCCCTGGAAGGTCCCTCTCAAATACAGAATTTATTTGTATACCTAGCCAAGTCAGTGGAAGACATTACCACCACCAGGCTGAGCCTGCAAAGCAGAGATAGGGGTTGACCAGGAAAACAAGCAAAAAACCAAAAAGTCCCTGGGATTCTCTTCACCTCCCCCAGAATTGCTAGAGCTTCATACAAATTTGCTTGTAAGTCTCTCTTGTCTGTTTCTGATTTCCCCTCAACACTTCCTCATTGTCGTTTTTATATGAGTTGCATTCCCCAGAAACATTAGGGTAGCCTGCGGGCTGCTCTCAGCAACCTGAATGCACTCATGACACCTCCCCACAGGTGATCTGCCTTTCCTTAAATACATCAGCAGCCCGCACAGCTTCACAAACCTCACCATGGCTAGCCAGAACAAACTGCGTCTAGCTCTTCTTAAATATGCCTATGGTATACAGTTAGGGCTGAAAACAGAAGACACAGAAAGGCTCACAAAGATGCAAGAAGATAGAGACTAGTCAGGTACAGCGGTATATACCTGTAGCCCCAGCAACTAAGGAGACTGAGACAGGAGGGTGCTTGAGCCACAGTTTATAGATATTGTGTCCAAAATATAAAGTACAAACACTAACCAAAAACTAGAGTTTACAATAAGGCTTACTAATACCCTGTTTATTGTCTGAGCTTCCTCAAACCCATCTGAGGAAAGGCTTGGGGTGCAGGCCAGTTCCCTTTCTTAGCTGTTCCCACCTACAGGCTCTCCTTCCTGTCCTCACAGACAGATCTCTGCCCAACCCTGAACACCACACCCAAGCCCCAACACACACACACACACACACACACACACACGCACGCGCACACACACACACACACACACACACTGCAGAGGAGCCGAAAGCTGCCTGCATCTTCCCCAAAACCTTGCCAGCTGAGCAGCAAACAGACCTTCAAACAATTCTTTTAATGTTCCCCTCTCTCTTCTCTCTCTCTCTCTTAACTTTTTGGTTTCATACGAGTAATTCTTTCAGACAGGACATTATCTCCTGCCCTTTGTCAAGAGGCCCATTGCCCATCTGTAGCAGTGCTGAGCCTTCCATCTGGCCTCCCCGTCAGGGTGGAGACTGCCGCATGGTTTTCCAGCTTGTAGAGATAAACAGGTCTCTGCTCTTAGCCAGCCGAACCATGAGCCGGCCCACGTAGAAACCACTGATCTGGCCCACACCATCATTTCTGCCCATGGTCAGGAGGAAGGTCAGTGCACCTGCAGGACAGAGACACAGCAGAGAGAAGAATCCACTTACAGCCATGGCCTGCAATTTTAGAGTATACACTTTTCCCTTTCCCTCCAGGGCAGGAGTTGTGTGATTTTTAGGGAAGCAGCATCCTAGGGCTTAGGGGGACTTAGTTTTCTTTTTGAGCTAGAGTTTCAATATATAACCTAGGTTGGCCTTGATCCCCCTGCCCAAGCATGGGTATTACATGACTTTTTTTGTTTTATTATGTGCTAGTCCTGGGGACTAGCACTCAGGGCCTGAGCTTTTGTTATCAAGGCTAGTGCTCTACTACTTGAGCCATAGCTCCACTTCTGGCTTTTTGGTGATTAATTGCAGATAAAAGTGTCATACACTTTCCTGCCCAGGCTGGCTTTGAACTGCAATCCTCAGATCTCTGCCTCAAGCAGCTAGGATTACAGGACAGGCCACTGGCACCCCAGCTAGTGGTTACTTTTTTATTTTTTTCTCTGTCAGTCGAAGAGCTTGAACTCTGGGCCTGGGTGCTGTCCCTCAGCTCTTCAGCTCAAGGAGAGCACTCTACCACTTGAGCCACAGTGCCACTTCCAGTTTTCTGGTGGTTAATTGAAGATAAGAGTCTCACAGACTTTCCTGCCCAGGCAGGCTTTGAACTGAGATCCTCAGATCTCAGCCTCCTGAGTAGCTAGGATTATAGGTGTGAGCCACCAGCACCCGGCTGCAATTTACTTTTAAAGAGCCTTAAAGGGAGTTATTTGTGTCAGCACTATGGTCTAGTGGCTGGTCATTTTCCCCATGTGATGCTCACTCCCCATACCTGGTTTGTAGGCCTTGAGGGGCCTCTGTTTTATAGAGTTGACGATGTTGGCCACAACAACGTTGGCATGGAGGCCAGCGTGATAGGCCATCTTGGGCTCCTTTACGTCGGCACAGTCACCAATGGCATAGATATTGTTGTAGCCCTCCACCTGGAGGAACTCATTCACTCTCAGAGAACCATTTCCAGCCAGTCTGCTCTCTGCAGGACAAGACACACCCAGATTAAACCCAAGGAGCCATACTCAGTAGCAGGCTACAAGGGGGACGAGTCCTGGGTGCTGGTCCAGACACCTGAGAGGCACATGTTCAAGAGGTGACCTTAACACCTGCTGTGGTCCTGCCCAAAGTCCTCACCTCACACCCTCCTGCAAGGTCAGGCATGGAAATCCAGGTGGACACAGGAAAAACTCAGTTAACAGGGTCTTAAATGCCTCTTTGGACACAGATCAGAATTTTACAATAAATGCAGGACTTTCATAAATGATAAGTAACTTATCATGAAAACACATGAGGGCAATGGGATGCTAATTCTAAGCTCTGGGTCCATGATTAGTCCTTGATCCCACTCCTGCTGTTGCAAGCAGGAGCTCCTGGCCCAGAAGCAATATTCAGGAATAAATGACAAGGACACGAGGACACCAAACAACCACAGGACCTGGCCACTGAGTCTCTTGCTCTAACAAATCAACCCACTCCCTCCCACCTCCGGGCAGCCAGACACTGAGTTATAAGGCTATAACCCCCAAAACTCTCATTACAAACTGTAACCTGAAGTAGCCAAATGTTTCTATCCAAATTTGGAGAGGAAGACACTTTTGCATAAAAGGCCTGACCCAGGATTTACCACTAGGGGGCACCCTAACTTTAGAAGATTCCGGTGTCCTTGGTCACCTTGAGCTAGGGCCATCATAGAGCAGAGGAAAGCTCAACAAGAAGGGACTCTGGCTTGCATTTAAACTTCAAAGTTACCATTCATGATTTAAACAAGTGAGCCTCTGAAGTGAGGGGGAAAGGCAAGGAAGTGTTGGTTCAGGAGGCATCCTGAGGAGTGCTGGAGAGAGTCGGCTGCCTGCTTACCGAAGGTGCTGCAGTAGGCAGAGCTGTTGATCTTGACACCGCTGCAGAGAATCACTAGGTTGGTGGCCACCTCTGTGCCCTTGTCCGTCTGCACCTTGATGTACTCCCGATACTCGTTGAGAGGCAGCTCCTCCAGGTTGATCACCCGCTCACCTGTCAGGGGTTCCATGACCAGGAGCCTGGCAAAGGCTGGCACCACACCGTAGCTGACCATAGGCAAGGCCAGGGCTGTCCCACAAGTCCTTCCTCCACTCCATCTTCCCACCCAGTCCTGTCTACAGTCCACTCTCCTGCCCCAGGAAGCACACAGGTGAATACCCTGCCCCAGAGGATGCAACTGGAGGGGAGTTTTCCAGGGAGTCGCCGGAGGGAAGTAAGACCGTTTCCCTGGAAGTACTTGGAAAAACTACTCCACAGAAGGCCTCAAGCCTGACTCTGGATGTCAGCTTTCTCCTCCCGGCACACCTCCCATCAAGTTTTAGGGCAGGTAGCTTCAGAGAAGCACCTCACGGTATTCATGACTTGAATTACCAGTTACCAAAAGGAGGCTGTGAACCTGACACTGATGGCTCATGCCAGTAATCCCAACTACTCAGGAGGCTAAGATCGGAGAATCTCAGTTCAAAGCCATTTGGGGCAGGAGTATCTATGAGACTCTTATCTCCAATTAACTACACGCAAGTAGAGTTGTAGCTCAAGTGGTAAAGCACTACCCTTGAGCAAAAAAAACCTCTGGGATAGTGCCCAGGCCCTGAGTTCAAGCCTAGGACTGCCCCCCCCAAAAAAAGAAAAGAAAAGAAAAGGTTGTGATGGGTGGGAAGGACTTATACATGCCTCACGTTCTTCCACACAAAGCACTAGGGAGTAAATCGTGGATGTCCCATTGCTGGGATTAGAACTCCTCTAAACTGCTAGATGCTTCCCTCACTACCTGTTCTGGATAAAATGCCTGCCACTCAAAATATAAACCAACAATCCTCTCCCCGCTTGCACATAGACATCAAAACTCAGGGCAAATCCTTTCGATGCACTTTAAAAAATTCAGAAAATAGGTATCACCTATCTGATTAGCACTGTTGCCTTGTTGACTTTCACCTCCTGGATGAGGAGCCTCACACTGGCTTTGATGCTTGACTCTATTACCTGTGCTTTGTGCTGAATCCAACACACCATGGGGAAGACATGGGCCCTGCGGCTGGAAGCCCTGGCCAAGCCCCTGGGCCACCTTAGCAGGCCAGGAAGGGCAGAGGGGTGAGGTCGCATGGAGGAGTGATGTCACACGTACTCAGCAGTAGCTGCACACCCTTCCGGAGGAGGATCTCCTTCACTTCCTGCCGCACACAGGGCAAGAGCTCCTTGTCAGCCAGGGGCACTTGGGAGTGAATGAGAGTGACCTAAGGACAAAAGGACCCAGAAGATAAAAGGGAAAGCAAGTCTCTGGCTCACATAAACACCCACCATCCCCTTCCCCCATCCTCCAGAGAGAGCAGAAAAGCCGGCATTGTGTAGGCCTGATGGATTATGAACTTAATCAAGTTCATAATCCATCAGGCCTACACAATGCCTCTAGAAACTCCCTACAGGGTTTGGATAGCTCCATGTGCCCAGAGGATGGTACGCTCCACATCCAGAGCATAGAAGCCCCTGAATTCAGGACCCTTCCTACCCTTGCACTAGGAACCTCTTTACCTGACCTTCCATTTGTACTCTGTAAACAAACCTCTGTCTTTAATCACAATAGTAAGTCCGTTTTTCCTGGGTTCACATTAGCCACCCAAGCACAGGGTCATAAAAGTTCTCAATTAGAATCTAGTCAGACAGGAGTATAGCTAAGTTGGGGACCACTACTCATGGCTGGCATCTGACTTGAGGCCAATATTATAGAACGAAGCCCTTGATCTACAGGGTCAGGAGCTAACTCCTCAGTGTCACAGCTGAACTGAACTGCAGGACCCACAGCTCCTCTTGGAACACCGATATGTGAAAAAATCCTACAGCAGTGTTATTCTTGTGGCTTTATCCCATTCAGTTCTCATCAATCAAAATGAATAACCTTTAACTATACCAATCGCTCATAATTTCCAACAATTTGTCAGAAAATAGCCATAGAAATAAATTAAGTGTAGATTGATTTTTTCCTTTCAAAACTAAGCACTCCCTCGGGATGAATAGAAGCATCCACAGTGTCTGCGTGGCTCTTAGAAGCTGTGTGCATGTGCAGCGGGCCAGCTGCAGCTAGCAGGCCCTTTGCTGTCATCACAGCCCACCAGCCCAGAGGAGGCCAGTTCTTCTCCTTCTGAGTGCCATGCAGGTTCTCTACCCCTCAAGCATTAGAAGGGCCAGGACGGAGGCACTGCTGTTTGGACAGTGAGGGACTGTCCTGGGGCTTCCCCCACTGACCACAGCATGGACCATCACATGGCTCTCCAGAGCAAGGACGTGCCCATCAGGAAAAACACCAAGAAGTCAACTGAGGATGACCTTGTCCAAACTGGCTGACAGCAAGGAGAGGTCATCAAAGTCTAGGTTTCATGATAAAGACCAGAATTCTAGGGGGACACGAATAGCCATCTTTATAAGACATCAAGCCTGGGCCAGGCACCGGTAGTTTCATGCCTGTAATCCTAGCTACTCAGGTGGCTGAGATCTGAAGATTGTAGTTTAAAGCCAGCCTTGGCAGGAAAGTCCGTGAACTCTTATCTCCAATAAACCACCAGAAAACCAGAAGTGGTGCTGTAGCTCAAGTGGTAGAGCGCTAGCCTTGAGCTGAAGAGCTGAGGGACAGCCCAGAGTTCAAGCCCCATGGCTGAGGGGAAAAAAAAAAAAAAGACCAGCCTGGGGCTTGATCTCCTCCTCTCCCTGGATGAGGGCAACCTCAGAGCAGCACCACGGAGCTGTAGGATCCTAGCTCTCTAGGAAAAGGTCCTGCAGAATCTCACTGTAACACAAGGTGGGAAATACATTGGCTGTATGTGGAGCTCCAGCCTCTGAGACCTGCGTAAACTCCTGAAGCTCATCAGGAAAAGCAGAAGCAGTTGGCCACATGAAGTTCACAGCCCAGGTGGGAGCCTCACCTCTTTCTCGGGGTATTCTGTCTTAATTTCCGCTGCCATCTCCACTCCTGCAGAGCCGCCTCCCACCACCACGATGAACTGTGATCGCTGGACCTGGAGAAGAAGGGAACATGGAACCCACCTACACATCTACCCTCTGCCTGGGGCAGAGGGCCTACGAAGCTTAGAGAACTCTCTATGTTTGGGTTCCAAATGGGCCTATTCCTCCCCTTCTTGCAAAAATGCTGTGGAAACTGACTGCAATCAGGAGCTAAGCCTGCTCCACCAATCACGAAGCCCCAGTCACAGGCCAGTGGCCACATCCCCAGGAATTTCTACCCAGTGACTCTCAGCACTCCAGCTTCATAGGCAGCTCTGAGCCCCTCCCACATAACCTCTCTGCTCTACCCCCCCCCCAGCTGCTATTCACACCAGATACTCTCTGGCCAGCTCCGACTGCCCCCACGCCTGTTGCCACAGCGCACCTGCTTCACCATGTCCTCATAGGCCTGGATGGCAGCTTGCTGGCAAAATATATTACACTTGCCTGGGAACGGCCCAGTGCTGCCAGTAGCCAGGATAAGATGTGAGAAGGGCAAGGCCTGTGAGGGACAATAAAAAGAAAGGTTAGGGGGTGAGGATGCCTGGATATCTGCATCCAACACCAGGCCCCCAACCTGCCAAGGAGTAAGGGATAGAGAAGCCACTGGACACATGGAAAACAGCCCCATTGGAAGGAAGTGAAATTACCAAACCAATGAGGCCAAGAGAAGACACTAGAAACCAGGAACCACCTAAGGAAGCAAAACACCTGGGCCACAGAGCCATGCTGGTAATGGAGGTGAACCTGTCCAGCAGCGCAGCAGGAGTGGAAGGGGGGAAGCAAAGGAGCAGGAAAACACTGGTAGGGAAAAAACAGGATAAGGCGTAGTTTAGAATTTCCTGAGCATTTTAGAAGATCTCTCTACCTACCCATCAAACAGGAAGAAAGGGAAGGATAAAGGAAGAGGAAAAGAGAGCTGTGTGTGTCATGGCAGCCCTTGGCTGATTTGGGCAAGAAAATCTGAAGTTCAAAGCTATCCTAGCCTATGGTAGCTCACACCTGTAATCCCAGTTAACTCAGGAGGCTGAGATCTGAGAATCAAGGTTCAAAGACAGCCCAGGTAGACAAATCCTAGAGATTCTTATCTCCAGTGGGAAGCCAGGATGAAGGTGTGAAAGGTGTGACTCAAGAGGTAGAGCACCAGCCTTGAGCAAAAACAGGCAAGCAAGAGTGCAAAACCCCGAGTTCAAGTCCAATCTGGGCACAAAAATATTTTTTAAATGACGATATATCACCTACCACACTGAGCCATGGCAGAAATTAAATGAGATTCACATAAATGCATCAGACAATGCCTGGCATATGGGACAGACTTATGAAATCCCTGCTGTCGCATCCCATGCTACTATAGTGGAGCCTTTGTTTACAAAGCTGCACCTGTCCAGCACCAGGCAGTGCAGGGAGGGCGCAGAAGGCTCTCTCACACCTTGACAGTCCTCAGAAAGCCCACTGATACCAGAGGACAGAGCCTGAGCTTACCTCTCCACCCTGCAGCAGCACCGTCTGACTCTTCAGGTCTATCCCCACCACCTGGGCCTGCCGGAAGTTGTCCTTGAAGGTCACTGAATAGGAAATGAATGTCTTTTTGGCGAAGCCTGGGGAATAGATACAGAAAAGGTGGCATTATAGAACTAGACAGACTCTTCCCTAAGCTATATACTAATAGGCCAGAGCTAAGCTAGCCAGTGTACACCAGGCATTCGTGCCCCTAAAATGCCATCCAGTCCTTTGGTCTTTCAAAAAGCCCGAGCTCTTACTTTAGGGCTTTATTACAGTAACTGCTTAAGACTAGTGATCATCAGGGACTGGGGTGTGGCTTAAGTGGTAGAGCATCAGCCTTGCAAAAAGTGCAAAGTACTGAATTCAAACCCCAGTACTATTCTCATAAAACAAAAGACCAGTAACCATCAGGTTCTCTGAAATAAATCTAGCAGTGAAATGGTAGCATTTAGGTAACTTGCTCTCCATGAAAGAAAATCATTCTCAGCCTTGAAACCATATACTCTGCAGTGACACAAACATTCTCACAAAGGCAGCCAGAAAGAGAGAAGGGAAGAGGGAGGAAAGGAAGGAAGAAGGAAGAGAGGCCACCTTACCACTCTCCACCGAGGCGCGGAGGGCTGCCACATTGTGATGAAAGGAGTCCTTCATGTCCACCAGCATGAAGGGGATGTTCAGCGCCTGTAGTTGGCTGGCAGCCGCAATCCCACCGAAGCCTCCGCCCACAATCACAACATGCAGAGCTCCGGTATCCACTGACACCTGGGACCCCATCTCCAACTAGCCACTGCTGGGCTGGGAAAAAGACCATATTAGAGTCAGGGGAGAGAGGCCTGGACTGGAGTGACATGAGCCTCCCTTTCTAAATGAGGTGAATCTGCCAGGCACCAGTGGCTCACGTCTGTAATCCCAGCTACTGAGGAAGCCCAGATTTGAGGACTGAGGAAGCCGAGATTTGAGGATTGTGTTTCAAAGCGAGCTTCAGCAGAAAAGTCCATGAGACTCTTTTCTTCCAGTTAATCACCAAAAGCCATAAATGGAGCTGTGGCTCAAGTGGTAAAGTAATAGCTTTGAGAAAAAGCTAAGGGACAGTGCCCTGGCCCTGAGTTCAAGCCCCAGTACTGCCTACCCTGAAAAGAAAAAGGTAAGTCTTTCATTAGTGGAATCTGAACTGACTTCAGAAGGAAGAGTAACTGATTTCAACCATGTTGCCAACTACCTTGCTCCTTTCTACAAGGCTATGTGACGCCTTCCAGAAATGCTATGTACCTATGGTCATGACTAATTTTTTTTTTTTTTGTCAGTTATGGGGCTTGAACTCTGAGCCTGGGCACTGTCCCTCAGCTCTTCAGTTCAAGGCTAGTGTTCTACCACTTGAGCCACAGGGCCACTTCTGGTTTTCTGTTGGTCTATTGGATATAAGAGTCTCACAGACTTTCCTGCCCAGGCTGGCTTTGAACTGCGATCCTCCAATCTTGCCTCCTGAAAAGCTAGGATTACATGTGTGAGCCACCAGTGCCCGGCTATGACTAATTTTTTGCACACATTAATTTGTGTTTTTTTTATTCCATATGCTTCTTTTGAAGAAGGAGTAATGTTCATTCAACACATAGGGCATGTTCTGCTGTGGATCCTGTAGCCAATACATTTGTATGAAGTCCCTACTCTTATAAATGGAGAGAGTCCAAAGTCAAGAGCCAGGGGAAGTTAGGCAAGTAAACAGAAATGCTGTCATGCCAGCACAAGCCACCTCTAAATAAAAATTAGTTAGTATATTAATTATACAAAATAATGGGTTTCATTGATATTTTCATGCACATACACAAAAACTTCAATCATATTTACCCTCACCACCCACTCTATCCCTGCTGATCTCAAATAGTCCCCTCTACATTCATGCCTTTTTCATGCAGTATTTATTGGAGTCTGGTTTCTTTCACTTAACATGATGATCTCCAGTTTCATCTATTTTCCTATAAATGTCATAATTGTGTTTTTCCTTGTGGGTAGATAACACTGTATTGTGCATTTACATAGAGCACCAGCCTTGAGCCAAATGCTAAGGGATAGCATCCTGGTCCTGAGTTCAAGCCCTAGTACTGCCTACTCTGAAATAAAAAAAAAGGGGGGGGAGTTATATCTTTCATTAGTGGAATTCAAAAGGAAGAATATGTGACTTCTACCCCCATTCCCAGACACCCTGCTGAATATACATATATTCACATATATAAATGTGTGTATATAAACATATTTATTTTCTTTACCCAGTCATCTGTTGCTGGGCACCTAGGCTGACTCCATGACTTGGCTATGGTGACCAACATTGTTATAAACATGAATAAGCAGAAACAGACCTTGATTCCTTTGGACATATCCACAGTTATAGTATAGCTGGATCATATGGTAGGTCCATGTTTAGCTGTCTGAGGAGCCTCCATGCTGATTTCCACAGTGGCTAACTGCATGACACTCCCACCAATGGTGTATAGTCTCTATGGGGAAATTCTTCAAGACTGTGCTAAGCAAACACTGCAGCCAGATTCTTCCAGGCTCACCAGCTTGAGTGCAAGGCTGAGAGCAACTAGAGTAGAACAAGCGTGCCAGCTGTGATATGTGTTTCCTCCAAAACATGCACTGAAAACTTAATCACCATGTGGCAATGGTGGGAAATGACTGTAATGGAAGGGTCCTGGGTCCTGAAGGTTCCACACCCACAGTATGGATTAATGCTGAGTGTAAAAGGCCTCTGGGTTTCAATTCTGATCTCTTTGTTGTCTCACTCTTTTGCAGCAGGAAGGGCCTCATCATATGCTGCCCTCTTGATTTTTTTGGACTTCATGCTCACCCCAAACTACAGGAGGCTGACAAGTTCCCAACAAACTGAAAGAAAACAGTGGCTGAGTCTCAGTGGAGCTAAAATCTGGGAACCCTTGGCCCACAGCCAGAAGCAGGGGCCATCTGAGGCAGAAGGAAGTGCTAGGCTAGGTCACTACAGCGGAACTGCTAAGCCTAGAGGCAAAAGGGAAAAGCAGCCAAGTTGCAGAGCTTGCCTAACCATACCTGGGAGGCTGGTACAGCACCTACAGTATCCCTGAGTCTGCCCCCACAGGAAGTTGAGAGGCTGGTCTGGGGCTTGTCTCCAGCCCAGCTGAACCCCAGACAAGGACACTGTGGCCTTCAAACAGGCTGCAGATGCTGACGGGGGGAGGGGGGGGGAGACATGGAGCCTAACAGAGGGAAATTAACCCTAGTGAAATCCCCAGCTGTGGAAGGCTTGCTGGGGATGATGGCTTCAGCAACAGGTGATCAAACATCCTCCTGCTTGCAGGAAGCCATACACAAGGGACCTGCAGTAGGTACCCAGGGGAGAAATAAAACTCACAACACAGACAGCAGCCAAGGATGCTGGCTGGAAAGGGAAACATCAAAGAAGGAAGACCTGGACTTGGAGGCCAGGGCTTCATGGGGGAGTGTACACTAGCCCCTCTAGGGAAGACTGAAAGACCACCCATTGTCTGATCATCACTGCAGTCACTTTCTGGGATGTTTTATTTTATTTTATTGCAGCTTCTGTGCTTTATTTAAGCACAAATAAAAGGCGCATGTAAGCCATCTATTCCTTTTCTTCACTGCACAGCCTGGCATTGGGATTGGTGACTCTGATGGCCAGCTGGGCTGCTCTTTCCACGATGGCTTTTCAGTTCTTGGAGGAAACATTGTGGGCGATCTAAGCACAATAAGACTTGTTACACATGAGCAGCACTTCCAGCACCTTGATGTTGTGAACTAGGAACTTCCAGAATCCACTGGGCAGCAGGTGCTTTGCTTGTTGCGCCCATAACCAGTGTTGGGCATCAAGATCTGGCCCTTGAATCTCCTCCACACACTGTTGTCAACGCCCCTGGGTTTCCACCAGTTACGCTTAATCTTGACATATTGGTCTGACTGGTGGCAGATGAACTTCTTGGTCCTTTTATTGACAATCTTGGGCTTCACCAGAGGTCCAAGGGCAGCCATGATGCTTTGAGCAGAAGGAGAGGGCAGCTATCTTTATAGTTAGTGCCAAGGAAGAGGAAGGGGCTCTGGGATGTTTTAGTATACACAGGTTTCCAAAACATGGCTGCCTCCAAGATGGTTCCCAAGACAAGACCCTAGAGGCAGTGTAACCTTCTCTACTCCAAGTCCTCACGAAGTTGTCCAGCACTGATCCCAAGCATCTGTCAGGCTGAATCTGCCAAGTGGGTCTCAGGAGACTGTCTCCTGAGGGTCAGGACTAGGAGGGCTTAGGGATTACCTAGAGGCCTGAGCAGGGCCTGGGAATGTGGGAGACCAGAGATGGGGTATATTCAGCCCCTCTGGGGCTGTCAGACAATGATAGGATCAGGAAAACATCCAGAAAAATCCCACTTACAAGCTGGCTGGACACTAGCCCTGAGAGGGGCTACATAGCTTGAAAACTACTATCTATGATCCATGACAGATTGATCGTATTGGACCATCAGGGTGGTTCTAGAACCCTGAAGAGGAGGTGGGTCAGGACCTGTCCCAGTAGAGGTCAGGTGTAGATGAGAGGCCCAGAGGAAGGAAGGGAGGGAATGTGAGAAGTCCAGGGCATGTGTAGCAGAAAGGTAGAGAGGCCACAAGGACAAGGGACAGGGACCAGAACAGACACCACTGAAGTCTTGTCATGCCAGGAGAACAAACAAGCCTGACCTTGGCATATCATGGTGTCTCCCTCCCTGGGAGGAAAAAAAATCAGGGACCCCAGCAGGCCAATCAGGCATCCTGGTTAAACCAAAGAGATGAGGCCCCATTTCCCACAGTCCCTAGGATCACTGACCTGTCCCCCAAGAGCACATGAAGGCAAATGCTTTTCTAGGGTTCCCAGTGGGAGGTCTAAGGGGACCCAGGGTAAGCCCAGGAGTACAGACACCCTTTCTCACTGAGAGCTGCCTAGGCCTCTTCTGGAATCTTCTCTCTCCTCTACTGACCTCTGACACTCTCCTTAGTGCTTCTCCTCTACATTCCATCCCTCCCCCCACTGCAGCCATTGCCTAACTTGGACAGCAGATTTTCTTTGGCTCTCTTAGTTGTTAATTTTGCCTAGTCTCCAAGGATGTCACATTCTCCTCTGTGGGCCATGACCTACTTTGCCAGACACCTAAACCAAGGACTTAGCGTCAGTATTTCTAGCTGCATACCCTGTAGGTTATGAATCAACGTTGGTGTGTTCTCACATGGCAGTAGGGATGGGTACACTTTAGTGAGAAACCCCATTAGTCCATGGAAGCAACCATTATATGGCCATACAGTGAAATTCTATAGTTATTTGTGCGCACGTGTGTGTGTGTGTGTGTGTGTGTGTGTGTGTGTGTGTTTTCTCATGAGGCCTAAATTCAGGGTATTGATGTTGTTCCTGAGTTGTTTTTTTTCGTTGTTTTGGTTTGGTTTGCTTTGCTTAATGCTAGTACACTACCATGAGTCACAGATCCACTTTTGGCTTTTTGGTAGGTAATTGGAGGTGAGTTTCACAGACTTTCCTACCTAGACTGGCTTTAAACTGTGATCCTCAGATCTTAGCCTCCTGAGTAGCTAGGATTATAGGTCTGAGCCACTAGCACTTGGCCTTTTTTTCTTTTTCTTTTTCTTTATGCTGGGGTTTGACCTCAAGGCCTGTGATCACAGCTGGTACTCTATTTTTGGGGGGGCTTAAACTCTGGGCCTGGGCACTGTCCCTCCTCTTCAGCTCAATGCTAGCACTCTACCACTTGAGCCACAGTGTCACTTCCAGTTTTCTGGTGGTTTACTGGAGATACGAATCTCACTGGACTTTCCTGTCTGGGCTAGCTTTGAACTGAGATGCTCAGATATCAGCCTCCTGAGTAGTTAAGATTACAGGTGTGAGCCACCAATGCCCAGCTGGTACTATACTATTTGAACCTTGCCTCCAGCCCTATTTTTCACTGCTGATTTTAGAGAATAAATCTTACAGACACTGCCCAGACGAGCTTTGAATTTCCGTTATCCAGATATCAGGCTTCTGAGTAGCTAGGATTACAGGCACTGGTGAGTCAGGAGCACCCAGCATAGCTATTCCTTTTTAAAAGGTGAAGATATTTTCACATGAAAAGTTTGTCTATGAAAAGGTCAGGCAAGCTGGGCACCAGTGGCTCATGCCTGAAATCCTAGCTATTCAGGAGGCTGAGATCTGAGGATCACAGTTCAAAGCCAGTCCCGGCAAGAAAGTCTGTGAGACTCCTATTGCCAATAAGTTACTCAGAAAGCCAGAAGTGACACAATGGCTCAAGTGGTAGCCTTGAGCTAAAATTCTGAGGGACAGTGTTCAGGCCCTGAGTTCAAGCTCCATGACTGACAAAAAAAGAAGAAGAAAGAAAGAAAGAAGGAAGGAAGGAAAGAAAGAAAGAGAGAGAGAGAGGGGAGGGGGAGGGAGGGAGGAAAGGAGGAAGGGAGGGAGGGAGGGAGGGTGGGAGAGAGAGAAAGAGAAAGAGAAAGAGGGGGAGTGAAAGAGAGAGAGAGAGAGAGAAAGAGAAAAGGTCAAGCAATAGAACTTGTCTTTTTTTTCTTCTTTTTTGCCTATCATGGGGCCTGAACTCTTTTTTTTTTTTTGGTCCGGTCATGGGGCCTGAACTCTGGGCCTGGGCGCTATCCCTCAGCTCAAGGCTAGCGCTCTACCACTTGAGCCACAGCGCCACTTCCGGCTTTTTTCTTTTTGCTTATGTGGTGCTGAGGATTGAACTCAGGGCCTCATGCATGCAAGGCAAGCGCTTTACCACTGAGCCACCTTCCCAGCCCCAGGGCCTGAACTCTTGGCCTAAGCACTGTCCCTGAGTTCTTCAGCTCAAGGCTAGCACCCTACCACTTGAGCCACAGCGCCACTTCTGGCTTTTACTGCTTATGTGGTGCTGAGGAATCCAATCCAGGGCCTCATGCATGCAAGGCAAGCACTCTACCACTGAGTCACTTTGTCTTATTCTTATAGGCAACAAGATAATGGTACTCTAGTACTGAAACAAACATACATACAACTGCTACCACAGTTAGCATTCCTGGCACTTTTACTACATTTTCACATGAAACTGGTATCAAATACCACCCAACTTGAGTATATAACATTCTGTTTTCATTCTTAGCTATGACCATTCAGGCTGTGTCCATCTATAGTGAGTAATGCACTATGAACATGTGGACATGACTTGGACTAGCTGAGCCATATGGTAACTAGGTTGAAATTTTCTGAGACCTCCCAGGGAGGGAGTGCAAGCAATCCCAGCCACATCTGCCCACATTCAGGAATAGTACCTCAAAAAGCCCGAAAGAACAGAAACCTAATTGTCCAGCAATTCCTAAGTCATTGTACCTCTACCCAATCCCCCAACACACAAAATGTGGTTTGCACTTGAATCTGCTCAGTCGGTCCTGTTTCTTCTCCCAAATACCCAGCCTGATCCCAGGGGGACTCTTCTTCAGGAATCACCAAGGAAAGCCAGAACTTGTTGAGAGGTCAGGCCTCTGAAGACCCACAGTAGGAGCCATGTGAGTTCTGAATTCCAAACAGAACACACAGCTTTTCAATTCGTCATGTATTATGCAGAAGGTAGATTTCAACATTGGTCCTTTGGGCAGCCATGTATCCAGAGTGGCCAAGATTCAAGAGAGCCACTACTGTGACTCAATGGGCTATGAATGCCCATCTAACACCTGGTGGAAGGGGAAGGGTAGCAACCTCCCTCCCTGAACACAAGTGGCCAGCTGAAGAATGGGTACTCCATGGGCAACCCTCTAGGGAACATACCCTAAATATGCCCTCCAAAGAGATCAACTGCTGCAAGGAACTCTGTCTTAAGTGGGGACAGTCTCCTTTAATGCCCTCAAGAGAAAGAAGCTCTGAAGCAGACAGGCTCACTGAGGTGCCATAGCCACTCCTGTGCCAGGCTATGTGTCCACCCTCCTCAGAGCCAGCCACTCTGTGGACCCCTCAACACTCTCATGGTCTGCCACAGTGTGCAGCTGGACCCTGACTTCATTTCATCACCAAAGACCAGGCTGGCTCTAGAGTGCAAAACCCAACAGCCCCACTCCCTCCCGACCTCCATCACTTCTGGGCTGTGTAGTAGTCCTGGACAAAGCCCCATTCTGGCTAGCCTGATGAAATGAAGGTTACAGGCAATCCCCCCTTAAAAGATTCATCTCTAGGAGCTCGAAGAATCCGGGGCATTTGCAGCCTGCTGGCAGCGGGTGCCTGGACGCGTGCTAGCGGGAACCTTTACGTCTGGGAAGCCTGGAAGTTCTCTCCCAAGCTAAGTCTGACTCTGCCCTGGGTCCGGCCTGCAGGAGCTCGGTCCCAAGCCCACCGGCCCCCTTCTCACTCCCGGCCGTGCCGAGCGGATTTCAGGGTCCCGTGGGAGCTCCGCTACTGTTGAACTAACAGTTCCACTTCACCACGGGGCCAAGCGGGGCTTCTGGTGCACCCCGAGTCCACTGGCACCCGGTGGGGGGACTGAGGCTGCTCCTGGCCCTCGGACACCGGCCTCATTCCGCCTGAGACCTCTCAGGATCGGGGCCACCCGGCCCGTGGCCACTGCTCACCCCTCCCCTTCGGGCCTGAACCCCTATTTCTCGGAAAGCTTAGCTGGTATTTAGGGGCCTCGGCTGGGGACCCCTCCTTCCAGCGTTTTGCTGGGGTACAGGGTGCTGCGGTCCCAGCCTCTGTTTCCTAGGCAACGGCCCCCTTCTCCTTAAGCCCCGATTCCACGACCCGACCTCCCCACGCGGGGCGCGACGTCTGCCAGACCCTGCTCCCCGCGCCCCTGCAAGCGAGCGGGGGGGGAGGGGTAACCCGTCCCGCCGAGGCGCTGACCCCAACCTCGCGATGAGGGTCCGCACGGTGACTTCACTTACCGGCCGCCTCCCGCCGCACCCGCACCCCCGCTCCGCCCGGCTACCGCCGCCGGCGCCTTCCGGAGCTGCCTGCCTCAGGCCCTTTGGCCTGGGCGGGGCCTAGCGGAACCCGGCGCCCCGCCTTTCCCGTCTGCGCCCCGCCCCTGCCGCTCCTGGAACTGACCTTGACCGCGAGCAAACTGCCTCGAACTTCGGAACAAATGCCCCCTAGATAGGCCGAAGTCTCCTCTGCGGCCAGACTGCGCCTCGTCCCCTCCGCCCCACAAGCCACGCCCGCCCGTCGCACACGGGCCCCCTCCAACTCCGATCTAGCCAGCCAGCGCCCCGCCCACTCTGCCCCCACAAGCCACGCCCATTTTGCGCCCAAGTCCCGCCCGTCCCACACGGGCCCCCTCCAACTCCGATCTAACCAGCCAGCACCCCATCTGCTCCACCCACACAAGCCCAGCCCAGCCCCTAGCCCGGCTCTACTCCACCCCATCCCAGACACTTCTGTTGACACCTGTTGAGCTGCTCTAGGCTCACCCGCTAGGCTGTGGCGACCTTGGGTACCGTAACCGCCTCTTCGCTCCATGAAAATACGTAATTATTCGGCCAACCTAGCTGAGCACCTACTGCATGCCGAGCGCAGTGCTGGCAAAGGGATAGGATAATGGAGATTAAAAACAAAAGCGATTTTTGCTTTGGTGGACGCCATGAAAGCCCAGAGAAAAACAAGTGTGAGGGACAGCCCCAACCAGAACCAACCATAGGAATCAACAAGCTCGTCACTTGCAGGGACAAAGACTAGGGACCTAGAAGTGTGCAAAGACCTTCCTCCCAGAAAGAGGAGTCAGTTCTGGGCAGATAGCAGGCAAGTGCCCTTTTTGTGTGCTAAGATCCAGAGGACGGACAAGGATCCCGAGTCAGCACATTTGAAGTTAAATCTAGAGGTATTCAAGCTAACAGTGAAAGATTAAAACCATCCCCGTCTTCTTTGTGGAGGAATGGGGCTGGTATCTCAACTTAAAAGGGCCTCAGCTCTTGCCCTCACAGCTGGCACTCTGCTACTTACTTGAGCCATGCCAACAGTTGGGCTTTTTGCTGGTTAGTAGAAGATGTAATCTCACAGATTTTTTTTGCCTTGGCTGACCTGGAGCTTCATCCTGTAGATGTCTATTTCCTGAGACAGGCTTGAGCTACTAGCAACAGATAACCATCTCCATCTTCTTAATGTAAATATCAGCACCTACCTTAAGAGCTGTGAGGAGTATCCAGTGAGACCACTTATGTGAAGCCTTTTGTGTGCTGTCAGCCACACAGCAGCAACACATACATAACCAGTGTTTTATATTACAGATTAGCCTGCCCATGTCCTGGCAGTTCATTGGTAGCTTCAAATTGACTCTCTCACCTTCCCAGTTTTGTACTTTTTTACATGCTGTGGTCAGAGATAAGACAGGGTAATAAAACAATGGCTCACACCTGTAATCCTAGCTACTCAGGTAGCTGAGATCTGAGGTATTTCACTGACACCAAGGAGGACACCTTAGACCTGCTCTTTGGGCACAGACCTCACTTTGCTAGATTGTGCCTGGCACTGACTCCAGTATCTGGTTCCCTTGTAATTCAATATTGTTTTCCAGGTGAATTTTTTTTTCATTTCTTTTTTTTTTTTGGGGTCCAGACGTGAGGCCTGAACTCTGGGCCTGGGCGCTGTCCCTCAGCTCTTCAGCTCAAGGCTAGCTTTCTACCACTTGAGCCATAGTGCCACTTCCGGCTTTTTGCTTTTTTTTTTGCTTATGTGGTGCTGAGGAATCGAACCCATGGCCTCTGGCTTGCAAGGCAAGCACTCTACCACTGAGCCACCTTCCCAGCCCAAGGTGAATGTTTTTTAAATTGACATAATTTGTGTCTGAAAAGTCATTGAGCTCAAGATTGTGTAATCAACACTACCTCCTATATATATAACTCTTGACCATCTTCATCATCACAAAAAGAAATCTCATATCACAAGTTGCTCTTCCTTCTTGGCTCATCCAGCCCCAGCCCTTGACATCCAGAAGGATTCTATTTTTCCCTCCCCTGAGGTGTACTAGGATTTGAACTCAAGTCCTTTGCTTTTAGTTTGTTTTTCAGATAGCATGTTAATTTTTCCCTCCAGACTGCCTTCTGACCTAGAGGATCTTCCTACCTCCACCTCCCAAGTAGCAGGAACCACTGGTGTGTGTACCATGGACATTTATTTCTCATTAAATGATCCCATCAGTACTCTTTGAAAATATACAGCTAATATTATTGAACATTAAGTGTTTGCATACCTCCTTGAGTTCCTTTTCACACAGATCTTGTAGGGTAAGTTTTTCTCTTCTGTTTTACATATAAAGACAGAAGCCTCTACAGACTTAAGAAACTCAGTTAGTAAAGCAGTGGGGTTAGCCTTGAGCAGAGGTTGAAACCATGATCCTGATGCCAGGATGTCCTTCAACAGGGCTGGAGTCATCCCTAAGAGAACTAAAGGGCACGGAGTAGGCAAAGCACAGTCTCAGTTGTGGTATCAAGCACTTGTGACGCCTGCCCAGTTAGTTCCATGTAGCACAGAGGTGAATAGAGACATAACAGCCTTCCTGGGAGGGGGAAATGGTCTGGGGCTTGGGAAAGGAAGATATCCTTGGGCCTTCTCAGAGGAGCTGGGTCTGAGCCTGGATGGAAGAGGATCCACCTGGCAGAGTACAAGGGGTACACACAGAGATAAAGATGGAAGGGAGAAGACAGAAGTGTGAGGTGGCTAAGCCTCAGAGGCCCGTGAGCTTCAGAGCATGGGCCTCTGAGCATGGCAAGCACCGGCCTCTGAGCATGGCATGTCAGGGGGGAAGAAATCCAAGTTTTAACACATTTTTTTTTTTTTTGGTCTGTCATGGGGCTTGAACTCTGGGCCTGGGCACTGTTCTGAACTCTTCAGCTCAAGGCAAGCGCTCTACCACTTGAGCCACAGCACCACTTCCTGAAATCCAAGTTTCCTGGTCACCACTCAGCCAAAGTGGCAGATAGAAGACAGTTAGTTGATCCAGGGCAGGGTCTCATGCAACTATCTCTGCCACTTCCAGAAAGTTTCTTACACTTCACTCCTCTTTGCCCACCCAGTAGCGCCCATAGCTTTGGAATTGAAAAACAGGGCTAACTACTGAACGAAGGACTTTCCTGGGTGCCAAAAGAAGTGGGAAGGTGTGGTGGTTGTGATGGTTGAAACCCTGGCAGGTCCCCAGAAGCTTGCTTCTTGGAGACAGCAATGTAATGTCAAGTGGTAGAGTGCTAGCCTTGAGCAAATGAAGCTCAGGGACAGTGCCCAGGCCCTGAGTTCAAGCTCCAGAACTGGAAAAAAAAAAAAGCCTGGATCCTTTGATCACTCTTGTATAAGAACAAACCTTCCCTCCTTGTTCAGATACTACTTCAGACTTTACATGAACAGTAAATTTCTATTGTCTTCCGTCACCAGAATGAGGAGTATGTTTTTCTGCATTGTCCTAACTCATCTTAACAGCCTGTGGACCTGAGGCTCCAGACCCCTACGCTTATCAGTCATCCATCACTATCAAAGCAGGTACTATTAGGCTTTCCCCTCTGTGACATCACCCCACATCCCACACCCACCAGTCCTGCCTTAGCCATCTCCTGTATAAGGCCTGTATAACTGGTCCCAGGGCCTCAGTTTCACTCCTTTCTAGTTTTCTCTCTACCTACCACTCCCAGAAAAACCAAGTGGTTTTATCTTTCTTGTCCTACCTCTTGCTACTATCATCCTGGAACATCTTCCCTATTTCCAGTCTGTTTGGTGTTTCCTGAACTCTCCTGCCACAGTCTGGTACATGAGTCACCTTGATGAAACCTCCTCCATCTTTGGGTGTCTGGACATAATCTCCACGCACAGAGCTGCCGTGCCCATTGTAAATGTACAGACACACCAATCTCCCCAGAATACCTGTGAGCACCTTGCTATCCACACATGTTGGAATAAACTTAACCCCCCCAGCTACCACTGATTTGCCATAAGCCTTCTCTCACTGGAACCTTGCCTGCTCCTAATCTGTAAAGGGAACAAAGCAATCACAGGAATGTTCTGTGGTTTTCCAGGGTGAGCATTCAACACATATGAGATATAAAGCACTCCTAGGCCATGCTCTTCCTGCTTGGATTAGCCCCTGCCATCTCCAGATGGCATTCAACGGGCTGGTGAACATCCCCTCTCAGGGGCCCAGGGTACCATGCCATGCACATTCCTGAGGAGTTTGATCTTGGCTCCTGAGGGTTACTCTGGCCTACTACCCTCTTGTTTTAGTTTTTGTGGTGCCAGAGAGGGAAGCCCAGGCTTCACACATGCTAGGCAAGTGCTGCCTACCCCCAGAGTTAAACTCCCAAACTCCCTCATTCTTTGACCTTCCACCAAGCTAGACTCCAGCACAGACCTAAGCATATTCCAGGCATTTTGTACACACCTGCTGCCAGGCCAAGATCACCACTTTCTGGGATCTCCAAGTTCCAGGCAAGTCCTCAATATAGCTAGTCAGGCTAGCCCAACAGAGCACCCTACACAATGACCCTCTGCAGGGCATCCGCACAGAAGGACATTTTCTAGCCAAACTGCACTCTGGAGAAAAAGACATCAACATACAGAAGCACAAAGATTGTTTATTCCCAAGCCCCAACCATACATGCTATCTCCCCAAAATGCCTGGGATTAGTCTGTAGGATAGAAAATGAAGGCACTGTGTCGGACTGAAGTTCCTGGCTTGCAGGAACCCTGCCGCCCATACGTGTGGCACTATAGGGACACACTCCTGTCCATTCCCTCATCTCTGTGCCTAAGAGTAGGGTCTCTGTGCTGATGTATTCCCAGCAAACCCAAATCGCCTGACACTCCTGATTGCACAGGCAGCTCATGGGCTCTGTCCCGGGGAAGCAGCTGCTCCAGGTGGCTAGTGGCCTTCAAGGGAATAGATACCCAAGCAAAGCTAGTCCACCTTCCCCCAGCATCTGCTTACCAGGACCAGGGCCTTTATGCGATTGGACTGGAGTCCTCAGAAGGGAAAATCACATAGGTAAGCCTAGTGGAACTCAAGAAAGCATCCCACAGTGGATCCCATCTTGCTGAAGAAAAGTCTGTACCTGGTCCAGAGCCCCAAGTCCAGACTAGAGTCAGGGGTGGAGACCTGCAGTCACCCAGCTGGGCCCCAGATCCTACGACTGCTAACCACCTCCATATCACTTCCCAAAGTATAAAATAGTCCCTCTCATCTGGAGGGTGACATAGCCTCAGAGCTTGCTCCGAGGGGCCTGGGGCAGGGGCTGCTGTAGCCGCCATACAACCCTGACTGGCTCAGCAGCATGGTCCAGCTCCCGGAGGCCACCAAGGTCACCAGTCTGATTGTACCGCCTCAGGGCCGGCTGGAGCACTGTGATAGGAATGCTGAAGTTTAGGTGTGGGTAGGTGGCCCCTGTGTTATTGTCCCGGGTGTTGCTGGTGACCATGCCTGTGGGAAAGTCAAAGAACAAAATAAGTAAGCCAAGGGATAAAGAGTCACTGGGGCCTGTTAGGACCCCATGAGACAGACACTGAATGCCCTGCCATGGACATGTGTTCTGCATACTCTGCCCTCTTCCCAACCGCCTTCATACCAGCCAGATCTAATGTCCTGATCACTTTTCATCCTTCTTTCCTGTCTAATGAGCATCTTCCTTGTATCTAGAAAACTGTTTGGCACAAAGTAGACCCTCAACAAATACTTGCTGAATGAATGAATGAACCAGAATCACAGACATGTTTGAATCAGCCTGCTCAGTGTATATTAAGATAATTTTACACTTAATGAGGCCTCACCTAAAGAGTTGCTTTTGTTGCCTTTCATTCAGCTTTCCCCTTGGGCAACATTTTGTTTATCACAAAACACTTATCAGGACCAAAAGCTCACTTTGGTACAAGATTACTGATCTTGTTAGGATTTCAGTTTTTTGCTCTTTCTCCTCCATGACCCTACATCCTTCCTAAATTTCTTCTCATTCAAGTCAGCTCCTTAGGCTGTCATTATCTTATGGCCTGCACACTTGGAAGACTGCAAGGCAGTTCTTTTTGTCAAATGGCTCTCAGGTAGATCCCTGTAGAAGCAGTTTCTTTCCCAGTGCATCGTATCAGGAGGCATCAGGTATCTATCTTAGTATTCAGTGTTTGCATGCTGAGGTTCAAACCAGGTCCTCATACATGCCAGGCAAACACTCAGCCATGGAGCTATACCCAAATACTCAACCACTGAGCTAAATCCCAGCCCATTTAGTCCTGGTGATGCTAACCTTGATCATTTGGCTAAGCTGGCATCTACTAGGCCTCTCCCCACAAAATGAGGCTTTTTTTTGGAGGGGAGGGCCATCGTGGGGCTTGAACTCATGGACTTTCCTGCCCAGGCTGGCTTTGATTCGCGATCCTCACATCTAAGCCTCCTGAGTAGCTAGGATTACAGGCGTGAGCCACTGGTGCCTGGCTTTGAGGAATTCTTTTGTAAACACTAAGTATTCCATGGAAAACACTGAGCTTACATAAATACTGTCTCTACTTAACTTTTGCACACCATTTTATATTATCTACCCTTTTGTATTAGCATGTGAGAACACAGTATCTTTTTTTTTAATTGTGAAAATACCATACAGAGGGGTTACAATTACATGAGAACACAGTATCTTAACAGTGATTTCCTACTTCCCTCATTTCTTATTTTTCTTATTTTCCCTCATTCCTACATTTATTAATTAAAATTGTGTAAAGAGCTGGAGCTTGTCTCCATTTCTAAACTTACTCACTTATTTGTATCAGTGTAGACTCACACATATCTACTCTTCTTTGGTTTGTAATCTCATACTAGTGCTACCTGTTTCGTTGTTAGACTTGTTCCAATAGAAGCCTCTTCCAGTTGGCTCCTGGTTAACATTTCTTTCTAGACAAGACACTCCAGGATCATCTTGGATTTTCCTTGTCCAAGTCCTACAATCAACCAATTCTTGGTTCCTTGGTCAGAGGACAGTATTTAGAAACCAGTCTGGACTGTGAGTTGTGCTCAGCATTGCTCCTTACCCTTCTCAGTGGACAGTGGTAAAAGATGTGTGTATGTACACTAACTTACATGTACACATCTGTATTTATTTCTGTATTCATGTATCTATCAACTAGGATTTGTGACAAGTTACTCTAGGAATGACAGCCTCACTGAAGGCAGAGTCAGGGCTACAGCCCAGTGGTAGAACACTTGTCAAGCATATACAAGGCCCTGGGTCTGATCCCAGTACTGAGGGGGAAAAAAAACAAAAACAACAATGCACAGAAATATTCAACTCTACTTGCTAGAGTTGGTGCCCCAGGGGTGTGGGAATAGCAATTCTAAAACTACTTTAACTGTATACTAAGGTTGAACAAAGAAGTAAATAGATAGAAAGCAACAGCCAGATTTTTAAATACCTAAGAAAAAGTTATAAATAAGGGAAGACAGAAATAACAAGTCTAGCACAGCCTAAGTAGTATTATATAGAGAACCTTAGAGGTTTCCAAAGGAATGCACAATTTGCTTTGCTACCTAAAAAGACTGGGTTTTGTTTTGTTTTTGGCTTCATGTTTTGGTGCTAGGATTAAACCCAGGGCCTTGTGAATGGTAGCTCTACCACTGAGCTACCTGTCCAGCCCTCTGTTTTCAAAATCTTTTTTTTTTTTTTTGGAGGGGGGTCCGGTCGTGGGGCCTGAACTCTGGGCCTGGGCTCTGTCCCTCAGCTCTTCAGCTCAAGGCTAGCACTCTACCACTTGAGCCACAGCGCCACTTCCAGCTTTTTTCTTATGTGGTACTGAGGAATCGAACCCAGGGCCTCGAGCATGCAAGGCAAGTGCTCTACCACTGAGCCACCTTCCCAGCCCCTTTTTTCAAAACCTTTACTAGTGAAGTTGAAATTTTTTATTGGGAGGTTCTCTTTTTCAGCCCAGCCTGGGCAGAAAAATTCAAGAGGCCTTTTTAACCCATAGATAGCAGAGTACTATGTATCAGTTCTATGGGTCCTAAACTACATAGGAGGATGAAAGCAGGAGACTCGCAGCTCCAGGTGAGCTCATGCAGCAAAGTCTGTAAGATTTCCTCTCCATAGAGGGAAGCTGTACACAGTAGCCCATGTGTGCCACCCTAATAACCACAGGAAACCTAAAATAGGTGAATCTTAATCCAGGGACATATCTGGACAAGTAGATCCTATCTCAAAAATAGCAAGCAAGAAATGGGGCTTGGGGGTGTTACTCAGAAGTAGATTGTGAGGCCCTGTACAACACAGGAAAAAAAAAGGTAGGGAGGACGATTTAACCATAACAAACAAAAAGTAATAATAATAAAATCTCGTGGCTTTTTGTGACATGAGACCCATTTTCCCTCATGGCCCCAATCTGCTACAGCTGAGCTGTCATCCCCTGTCGTCTCACCCATTGATCTCTGCCCTACACCTACACTCAATTATCACCTGGCCAGTTTCTGTAGACTTTTTCTTTTCTTCTCTTTTCTTTTTTTTTTTTTTTGGGGGGGGGGTCCGGTCGTGGGGCCTGAACTCAGGGCCTGGGTGCTATCCCTCAGCTCTTCAGCTCAAGGCTAGCGCTCTACCACTTGAGCCATAGCACCACTTCCGACTTTTTTCTTTTTGCTTATGTGGTACTGGGAATCGAACCCAGGGCCTCATGCATGCAAAGCAAGCACTCTACCACTGAGCCACCTTCCCAGCCCCTCTGTAGACTTTTGAGTTTGTGACCCTTAGATTTTAATCTAACTCTTGGATTTCATAGAACAAATGCGTAGGAGACTTACCTAAGGTCATGAAGTGGGTTGGTGGCACAGAAGGGCCCAGGGCCCAGATGTCTTCCCTCTCAGCTCAGCATCCCTTCCTCTCCAACCCTCAAAGACAGAACATCCTGAAAACTTTGGCTAACTAACTCTGGGGGTCTTCCCCGACAGAGGGTCTTCCCAGGGCTATAGCATCTGCTGGGAGGACTGAGGCTTTGGCAATGGTTAGGTTGAGAAAAGGCCAAGAAGCTAATTACCCAGGAGGTCCCCTGAGTGGGTAGAGAAGAGAGGTCCACCACTGGAGCCACCATGCACGGCACATGTGGTCTGCAGCATCACCGGGGTGTCATCCACCTGCACCACAGCTGACAGGATGCCTGAGGTCACAGAGGGCCCACAGGCCTGACCAAATATGCCGAAGCCCACCACACTGACAGCCTCACCTGCCAGAGGAAAGGAGAATGCAGCTGGGGACTCTGTTCTGGCAGGGTTTTGCCCATCTCACCTCCCACCTCCACAAAGGTCCAACCTTCTCTGCCCTTTGAATTTCTGCTCAGATACTCCCTGCAGGGAGCCCTTCCCATGAGCCCCTTAGGAAGTAACCATTCAAAATCACTGCTTTGGGGCATCAAGCTGGTCCCCAGTCCTTGTTCCCTTGCTATACTTGGCAGTCACTTGTTGGAGTTCCTGTCACCTAGGTGCTCATGTTTGTAGAGTTAATACTCATTTCCTCCTGGGACTAGTCTCTTAGTAAAAGGATGGTACTGATGGTTACTATAAAGTAGCTGTGAAAGTATCTTCTTACCTAGTCATTACTATGGCAGGGGCAAGGTACAGCCCTGTTTAACACATGTGGAAACTGAGGCAGAGAACAGTTAAGTACTCTGTCCAAAGGCACCAGTGGTAGAAGGGTGATGCTAATCCAGAGATTGGTCTTCTATCATACACACACATACACACACACACACACACACACACACACACACACACACTGCCTCCATAAAATAGGACATCTGGTACCTATGTGGCAGCAATTTAAGCTTTGTTTCCTAAATCATGCCAAGGCAGTCTTGAAGGTGCCAAACACTTTTGTGACCAGCTTCAAGTGTTACCAAAGGCCCAGCACCTTAACACCACACTGCTGTGGCCCTGGAGTAGGCTAGCACACAGATTCTAGCCTCAGCAAGAATCTGGCAATGCCACCCTGGCTCATTAGCTCAGCAGGGGTGGGACAGGGAGCCGGTTGCCTAGTCTGGCATGGTTAGAGGGCCCAACATCAATTCTCCTTCCTGGGGTCCAGCTCTGCCCAGACAGGCCCTCCAGCACACTATACCCCTTGTCCTTTACCTTCATGGAAGTGCTCAGCAGGCACAGGTGTGGGGACACCATCCAGGTCTTCCTCCAGCCTCACGACCGCTATGTCATAGGGAGATGTCTCCTGGGTGGCAAATACCACATGTCCCCAGATGGCAACATTCCTGGAAGCAAAGGCAACAAATGACAGGCTTGTTTTCTGGCCCCTCAGCCCTGGACAGAAAGCAAGGAGATGAGAGTGGTGAGAAAATCAGGGACTTAAGGTCAGGAAATCTGGATGTCAGCCCTGGAACCTACCAGTCAGTAGCTCTGGGCATGACACTTAGGCAGGCATGCTCTACCAATGTAATCAACTGTGCAAAGCTTCCTCAATAGCCGACCCCAGGTAAGCACGGTAAGGCCAGGACTCATGCTTGTGCCCTCCTCGCCCTACCAGCCAGGAAGTGCTATTATCCTCATTTTAGATGTTGCAAGTGAGGCCCAGAGAGATTAAGTAGTCTACCCAAAGTCATAAAACAAGCAGCAGAGGTCAGGGCAAGCACACAGAACTCTTCTTCACTGCCTCAATAACTCCGAACAATCCAGTCAGTGAGTGGACAGCATGTGCTTTTACCCTTGAATTTAGAACCATGCTAGTACATCATAGCACACTATGTCCCAGGATCTGTCTTGTCCAAGACTATACATGTCAACTTATGAGAGACTGCTTAGACTATTAAGTGACTTTCCCACGCTCACCTGGGGGCACCTGAATACATTCTGCAGGGTTAAATTCCACCAGACCTGATGGCTTCCTTTAGGGCCAGAGTGGAGGGGAGAGTAGAGTTGAGGGGAAGGTAGAATTGTGGGGAGGGTCACACCACAGGCCAACTTCTTCATCAGTTTTCCTTTTCATGACTATTCTGGGTTAGCTGTACTGGGTCAATCTAAGGGATTCAGCAGAGATTGAAAGGCTGGCCTACAAGGCTGGGCTGAATCAGAAATGGGGAAGGGTAGCCATTAACACCAAGGTATTAGCTTTGACCTGAGAGTTCACAGCAAACAGAACATGCTAGAAATTCAAACCAGTAGTCAAGGCCAACTTCCACAGCAAATCCAAGTAAAGGAGGGCAAGGGTGACATTCTCTGCAAAGGAAACAAAGGCCCAAAGTCTCAGCCTGGCTGCCCAGCAGGGCCACATACAGGCTATCCAGAATACATCTGTCTACCTGAAAAACACCACAATCTAATTAGGTACAACCCCACATCTGTAATTTTCATGCAAAAAGGGCAGCTCTGGCTAGGTTCTAGGGAAAACCTGTGGAAGATTTATCAGGTCTACCTCATCACTCCCTGGGATTTCACCACCACTTCCAGAGCTGAAGTGAGCAGGGTAGGGAATCTGGTCAAAGGAGTTAGTGAGTGGGATGCAAAGTGCAGGGCTAAGAGACAGAGAGGCTGCCCAGAAGAGCCTCAGGCTGACCAGTCATACATGCCTGGGACACACAGACTCCAAGTTGCTTGGAGCTTGTCACCTTGCTCTAACTGAAGGCTGGGAGCCCCTCACCTAGTTATCAGATGAGAGGATGATCCCATGTCTCACCAACATTGCAGGCCCAAAGCCCAAAGGGCTGAGTCCTCCACTGTCCCCACCTGAACCCCCACTAAGGAGCAGCACAGAAGGCCTTACTTGGGCATAGTGGAGTGAATCTGGACCTTAGCCATCTCCCGTGGAGCCACATGCCGGCAGGTCACCACGAGACGAGGAGCCACGGCCACTCCGGATCCCCAAACGGTACCACACTCCACCAGCACGGCCGCGGCTGCCCATGGAGGTCCAGGGTCTTGCAGGGGCAGGCCCCGCGGGGCGCCCACCTCAGGAGGCAGGAGGGCGGTGAGGGCTGCAGAGTTGGGGGTCAGGCTGGCAAGTGCGGCGCGGGCGGCGTGAAGCAGCGGGGCGGCGGCACACAGCAGCGTAAGGCCCACCCACTCGCGGGCCTTCCAGCAGAGCGGCGCGGCCACCAGCGCCACCAGCGCCCCTGCGGGTCTCGCGGCGAACACGCCGCCGCCCTCGGTGCCCGGCAGGCAGCGTGCGTCGGTGAGCAGCAGCGGGCCGGCCGCATTGCTGAGCACGCCGCGGCTCAGCGTGTTGAGGAAGATGTCAGGGCAGAAGGCCCCGAACGGGGAGCCGCAGGCTAGCAGCGGCGCGCCCTTGGGCACGCTCCCCAGAGGAGCCACGGCCACCGCCGGCCCGCAGCCCTCCTCGGCCTCCGGGCCGGGCTCCACGCGCAACAGCGCGAACCAGCCCAACGCTCTCAGCTGATCCTCTTCCTCCTCCTCCGACACCTCATCGTCCGGGGCGGCGTTCACGAAGTGCCAGTGCTCGGCCGCTTCGCCTCCAAAGAGGCGCGTGAAGTGTGCTCGGAAAGCTGGGCAGCTCAGCAGCAGCAGCAACTTGGCTGGGCGCGGGGGCTGTAGGGGCCGGCCGCGGGGCCTGCTGGGAGCGGTGGAGGCCCTGGGCTCGAGGCCGGCGCAGCGGGGCATACTCAGCCCCGGGTGGCTCGGCTCCGCGCGCACAGCGGGGCTCTCGGCCGTTGGCCCCCACTGCACGTGGAGGCACAGATCGTCGCCACAACTGTCGCCCGGCAGGAACGCCGCACTGGTAGCAGTCAGGACCCCACTGCCGGCGCGTAGGAATGGAGTGAAGATGCCCCCGTGGCACAGCACCAGGCCCGGGCTCCGACTCAGGATTACCCCGCTGCAGCTCCACCAGCCCGCTTTGGGATGTCCGGCCCGGGAGGCGCTCACCACACAGCCCGCCTGCTCAGCGGCCCTCATGGAGGGCCCCCACTGCCGCCCCATCGCCTGCAGCACCTGACTCTCGGGGCCTCCTCGAGGACAAACTAGAGGACCAGGACCCCAGTAACGACAGTCTCTGCTGGACGCGACGGGCGCAAGCACTGACTCAGGTCTTCCTCATCCAGCCCGATTGGCTGAGCCCCAGCAGACCCGACCCGATTGGCTGGGCATGGCGCCGAGCCCGGATTGGCTGCTAATCCTGCCTTCCCCCGCCCTCTCTCGTTGACCCAACCTGTGGGATTTCAGCGGATGCGACCAGGGCTAGCCCGGGGAGAGGGGCATGATAGAGGGGCGAGATAGAAGGAGGGTGGATTTCAACAAGCCTAATCACTGATGTTTGTTGGGTTTCCAGAAAGGGTAATAACACTGACGTGGCTAAGCCTGACCAAGATGAAGCCTCTGCACAGGTGTTAAGTAACCTTCGGCCTCTGAACCCTGAGATAATATGGGCCAAAGGAACCCTTGCCCAATTCACAATGTATTTTCATTTTTTGAAGTAAATCCTAAAGCAGTCCACTAGGAGGCATGAGAATCACAAAATTACGAAGGGCTTTTTGTTACCAAAGCCTCAAGACAAATTTCATGGAAATGATTTGTCCTAAACTTAACTACTCTTTAAATTGACCATCATCAACAGCAGCTAAAGTAAAACAACTTTAATCATACAGCCATACATTTTGTAGTAAACATACCAAATAGCACTCAGGATTTGTTAGGCTGGAGGCTAAGTTCTGTTCCTTTAAGAGACCATAATGAAAACAGTTCAAGTTTTGTGGGTTATACAATCTGTCAAACAAAAAACAAACAAAAAAATTACCTCTGCAACTAAACATAGAACTCCAACTATGACCCGCCCTATAATCCAGTCGTACCACACTCTTGGGCATCTCCCTGTAAGACAGGATATGGTAAAGGCACTTGTACATCCATGTTCACTGTTGCACTATCGCAATAGCCAAGTTATAGAAACATCCCAGATGCCCTACAACAGATGTATGGATTGATAAAATGTGGTATATCTCCACAATGGAATTTTACTCATCCATTGCAAAGAATGTCATTTGTAGAGAAATTGATGGACCTAGAACAAATCATGCTATGTGAGGTAAGCCAAACTCAGACAAAATGGTATGTTTTCTCTCCTGTTTTTGCTTTGGGTTTTCTTTTTCCTTTTAGGGGAGGAGAGAGGATGTGCAGAAAGGGAGGGAGGAAAAGTGAACAAATGTAATCATGGTGTTCAGTGGATGTGGAAAATGACTTATGCAATTTATGAGCAGGGATGGGAAGAGGAAATTGGAGGAAATGTAATGGTAACCCCTCTGTACAACAACTTAATAACAATGAAATTGTATTTAAAAAAAAAAAAAAAGCTTACCTCTGCAGTTACAGTCCAACAAGAACGGTGGGAGGCTGCATTCCAACAAAACTTCATCAATTTAAATTTCATATATATATTTTTTTTTTTTTTTTGGTTGGTCGTGGGGCTTGAACTCTGGGCCTGGGTGCTTTCCCTCAGCTCTTCAGCTCAAGGCTAGCACTCTACCACTTGAGCCACAGCACCACTTCTGGCTTTTTCTGCTTACATGGTGCTGAGGAATCGAACCCAGGGCCTCATGCATGCAAGACAAGCACTCTACCACTGAGCCACCTTCCCAGCCCCTAAATTTCATATATTTCTGTGTCACAAAATTGCATTAATTTTTAATTAAATTACATTAAATATTCTTCAACCATTTAAAATTATTTTTTAAAAAACTTTTTAGTTCACGGGCCATAAAAAAGCAAGCAGGAAAGTTCTGGGTAGTTGGCCATCTCTAATACAGGACTATATGATCAAAATTGTTCTACTTTACTGTTAATTATGGTCAGCTTAATGGACAGTTTGAGTTAGAGCAAATAGTTGCCATGTAATTTGTCAAATTGAGGCTTTTGGCTAACATAAAACTTCCCTTGTTGCCTAAAGAAGTATCTGAAGGCACGTGCACATGAACAGTCATGTTTGGGGGGACTTCATAATACCATTAAACATTCGTCACAAGCTAGACATTTTATGAAGGTCCAATTTATCAATGTCACTCTTATTAGTACATATCTTTGTAGGCATTAATGACAAAATAATGAGTTGCTATTTAAATCATACAATTTGTGTTGGTATATGTGCCCATACTGGTTTGAACTTCTAGTTCTAGCTTATTAGGTTTTCCACTCAAGGCTGGTCTTCTACCACTTAAGCCACATCTCCAAGTTTCTTAATAGTTAAATGGAGATAAATCTCATGGACTTTTCTGCCCAAGATGGCAAATCCTCAGATCTCAGTCTCCTAAGTAACTGGGATTATAAGCATGAGCTCCAATGCACAGCTGCATGAATTCTTCAAATAAAATTAAAGCTACCTAGTGTACCCCCACAGCTTCCAAAGCACCTGGTAGGACAAATCTACTGAGAAACTATACGACACAGGACTGAAGTTAACCGACACTCAAATGACACTCAAACCTCCAGCACAAACTGTTATACGTAAAGTTTGTCTGTGTTTATGGCAGGCCCTGTTACAGAGAAATCCCAAATCACAGTCAAGATGAGTGAGTTGGTTTGGGCTCACTGACTTAGCCTTTGGTCTTCATTCTACTATGCCTCAAAGAAAACAAATTTTTGCTCAAACCTCCTCATAGTAGGGAAGGACAAAAGGACACTTCCAATGATGGAATTCTTGGTTTTAAGAACTTGTTGCTTTGCTTACATTCTATTTGTTCTAGTAATTTAGCTTTGGAATCTCATTTGATTTTTTTTCCAAAAGAAAGTTTCTAATACTAGCGTCCAGTATATGCACAAACAGAATGTTTGATATGCATGTAACATTCAAATGGATTCTCTCCAATGTGTAAAGTGATAAGGGAAGTAACTAAACTGGATTCTGTCCTTGCTAGAATGTCAATTAGAGATTCTTTCCAATCATCTGCCATCAGCACTCTGTTGCAGAGATGATCAATCACCTCACAGTACCTTCTCACATACTCAACTGGTGTTAAATTTACTACCAACATTTTTCCTCCCCTGGTAGCAAAATCCAATTTTAAATTCTTCTTTCACATCCACTCAAAATGTGTCTTTTAAGTAGGAATAACGTTCCCCAAACAAATGACATCATATGCTCAAACCCAGATCAAATTAATTTTTAAAAAACAAAAAATACCAAGGTTTTGTTTTAGCTTTTTATTAAAATGTTTAGGATACAGATTGACTTTCTTTTGTAAATGACTGTTTTACTTTTGCTGAAACAGGACATATGCACACTCTGATAAAACACAATGAAGAATCTCAGTGAGAGTTCCTGTAAAAGACTCGGCCTCGGACCCTCTGTGGGGTCGAGCTCCTCACAGCAGCTTCTTTAGGAAGGGGTTCTGTGGGCAAGAAACACACTGCGGCCACTCAACTTCTCAACAACCTCTTTCTCCAGTGATCAAAATAAACCACTTTCACAAAGAGCTGCCTTACGTAGAGCCCAGTTTTCTAGCTTACTACAAAGTGATCAGGGAGAAAGAGGGGGGAAAAAAAAAACTAACACTGAAGCCATCATACTTCTCAAGTCTCTGGACAGAGATATAAGGACAACCTTGAGCCAAAGAAAAAGTGTGCAAGTTGCAACTAGTTTACGGACAGATTTGTTCACTTAAGGCTTTAATAAACCCTTTCCAACCTGACAATTCTGTCTTAACCCAGCTATGCCTGCTGTAAACACATTGAGTACATGTACTTCCCAGACCTACCTCACTGAGCCTCTGCCTTCAGTCCCTGGCTGTGGAACAGATGCTTTCTCAACAAGTCAGTGCACTAGACTAAGAAAAAGGACTCCAACCGAACACATGACTCACTCTTACCCTGGAGTATGGCTTCCTCCTTTCCTACCCTATCACTGGGCGGAGGAAACCACTGAGTTGAACTTAAGAAGCATAATTTTCACCTTTGAAAAATCTACCTCTAATCCTGTATTAAGTAGGGGAAAAGAGAAAATTATTCTCCCATGTTAACACCATTTCTTAATTTTTTATCTTTTGCTACAAGTAGAATATAAATTAGGATCATGAAAATCCAATTTCATGTGTCACTGAGAAAATGGAATGCTATATGCTATAAAAATGTTCTCTCACACGGGGTCCTGGCAGCAGGGAGGCACCTCCAGAGGCTCTACAGGAAGTCCCAGCTGATTTCTGCAATGGAGAAAGGCAATTTCATACAAAAAAAAACTTTTAAGCCACAGATGTTAACCATTACTTTAAAACACCAACAAAATAATCAGTAAAGAGAAAAGAACAGCTCAAGAGAAACCAAGTGGAAACTTTAAAACCCACTGAGAAAGTCTTTCCTAGGTTCACACAAGTGCTACAATATCAGATGACTTCAGTCCTCAACTCAGAAATGAGCCCCTAAAAGCTGTGTTCCCCTATCCAGAACATTCCCCCCTACAATCTGTACAAATAAGTGACACACTTATGCATGAGAAACGTTCTCAATTCTTTTTACTTTTTATAACTGGAAATGAAAAAGGAAGGTGCTATGAAGAGAAATGAAATGTCACAACAGTGTGAAAGCAGACTGGCTGAAGCTTGCAACGTTATAAGAAAAAATAATACCAATAACTGACCCTATAACTCATTTCTCCACAGTGAACAATCTACTATCCACTCTGTGACGAGGGATCAGCCCAGCTTACCACAGTGGAACCTGCACAACTGCAGGGTTCTGCCCCTTTTCTAGTACTCTGTACACAAGCTGATGCCAGCTCCAACTAGGAAGAGGCAGGAGAGCTTCACCACCAACCTTCTATCTCAGCAGGCAGAAGTCCACCCACCCTACTTAGCTCTGGCCTCCAATGTGCATGTGTTCATAATTTTGCCAAGGATCTAAATGCCATTCACTAGTTAAAAAAAAAAAAGAAATAGAAAACTCTGGACCAAGTAAATTTTGAACTCAAACAGGAGGGATACCAATCACATTAACAACACTTTTTTTTAAAAAATAGAATCACTTTCTTTTGAAATCAACCACAGTGGTGAGACGTGTTTTTCTTTTCAGGTGTCCTATGATGGCACACAGTTTTACCCAGCAAATCCTGCCAGCTTCCGAGTCCCGGGATACTGACCTGACCCAGCATGGGTGGGCAGCGTTACCTCACAACAGTGTGGAGAAGAGCACATGTCACCACTGGGTGATGAGAGTTGACAGAAACTCTTGGCTTCTCAACACCAGACACGGTAGGAGAGCTTTCCTTGCTCTATTAGAAAAGTTCATGAGGAAGCTGTGAATAGGATCAGTCCAGAGAAGTAAAACTCTTTTATTTTCACTGTCCAAGTATCAGTCAATGTACTGGGAAAGCCAGCGAAAGCCCTCGCCGTAGCCTTGTCTCTTGAGTACACTGCACATGAACACTTCCATGGGGCGTGCATTCAGTTCCTTCAGAGTCACATTTCCCTAAAGAAGGCAAAACCAAGGCAGGCCTGTTAGCATCTCCACAGAGGCAAAGAGTGAAAGGATGATCACTATAATCACTTCCCCTCTTCCTTAAATGAAAATTTAAGTAGATAGAAATTATAGAAACATGCCTCTTGTTTTCAGGATAGAATAAGCAACACCATTCTATTCCCAGCCACTATCTCTTGAAAAGCATTTGCTTTGAATATTGGACATTAATTGGAAAGTTATGGCAGCAAAGTGAAAAATAGCCACCGGAACTCATGGAACCAACAAGCTCTTTGATGTGTTAGAGGTCTGTTTAGATGAACATTCAGCAAGGGACAATGACAAAGTTGCACTGAGGAAATTAACATCTCTGAACAACTTGTAAGTGAAGGTAAGCATTTCTAGAAAGAAATATAACAGTAACAAGACTAAAGAACCATGTAAAAAAGGAAGTTATCATAGATCACAAAAAAAAGATGGTTTTAAATATTAAAGAAGAGTCACCAGGTGCCAGTGGCTCATGGCTGTAATCCTAGCTACTCAGGAGGCTGAGATCTGAGGATTGCAGTTCGAAGCCAATTTGGGCAGAAAAGTCTATGAGATGCTTATCTCCAATAAACTACTCAGAAAAAGCCCCAAGTATAGCAATGGCTCTAGTGGCAGTGCTCTAGTCTTGAGCACAAAGAGCATCAGGGACAGAACCCAGGCCCTAAGTTCAAGCCCCACAACCAACAAATAATAATAAGCCTAGGAATCCTACTTATCATATCTGATCTGTGTATACTGTCAGAACCTGCTTTTCTTGGGCTGGGAAGGTGGCTCAGTGGTAGAGCGTTTGCCTTGCATGCATGAGTCCCTGAGTTCGATTCCCCAGCACCACATAAGCAAAAAGAAAAAAAGCCAGAAGTGGCCCTGTGGCTCAAGTGGTAGAGTGCTAGCCTTGAGCTGAAGAGCTGAGGGACAGCGCCCAGGCCCAGAGTTCAGGCCTCACGACCGAACCCCCCCCCCAAAAAAAGAACCTGCTTTTCTAAACAGAACCTTTCTTTAAACTGGAGAATTTATAAGCTACTAATGTGAAGACCAGTTCTATTTCTGGTTTTGTATTGAACTTGCTGTGAAGACTGTTTCCTCATCTGCAAAATAGGTAACATTCTTACTTCTCCCAGCGGAGCACCAGTAATAATCAAATACTTACTTTGATTTTGATACTTCAAAATTGATGTAATACTAGTTTATAATCTAAAATCTCCACTTACAAAAATGGATTTCTGGGCTGGGAAGGTGGCTCAGTGGTAGAGTGCTTGGCTTGCATGCATGAGGCCCTGGGTTCCATTCCTCAGCACCACATAAACAGAAAAACCTGGAAGTGGCGCTGTGGCTTAAGTGGTAGAGTGCTAGCCTAAGCTGAAGAGCTGAGGGAAAGTGCCCAGGCCCAGAGTTCAGGCCCTACAACCAACAAAAAAACAAAAATGGATTTCTAGCCTACAAAAGTCTTTCAAGAACCAAGAAGAGGCCTCTTTCTCAGAATCAATTTATAAAATAATCAGAAAATTCTAAAAAAATTAAGATTGCCTTTTCTACTAAATTCTTCATATACCTAAATAATTACATATTACTACTTGGGAGAGCTGGGTGGCTGTGGTTTAAGGCCAACCTGGGCAAAAAGAAATTTGTGAGACTCCAACTCAACCAATGGCTAAGATGACACCAGACATCCCCAGGGCTATGAAGAAGCACAGCCCAGGCCTGCCCTGGCATAAAGGTGAGACCCTATCTCAAAAATAACCAATGTATGGGCTGGGAAGGTAGCTCAGCGGTAGAGTGCATGCCTTGCAAGCATGAGGCCCTGGGTTCGATTCCTCAGCACCACATAAACAGAAAAGGCCGGAAGTGGCACTGTGGCTCCAGTGGTAGAGCACTAGCCTTGAGCTGAAGAGCTGAGGGACAGTGCCCAGGCCCAGAGTTCAGGCCTCATGACCGGCAAAAAAAAAAATTAAAATAACCAATGTACCAGGGTGCCAGTGGCTCACACCTATAATCCTAGCTACTCAGGAGGCTGATATCTGACGATTGGTTCAAAACCAGCCCCAGCAGGAAAGTCCCAGTGAGACTTTTTTTTTTTTTGTCATTCATGGGGCTTGAACTCTGGGCCTGGGTGCTGTCCCTCAGCTTTTCAGCTCAAGGCTAGCACTCTACCACTTGAGCCCCAGAACCACTTCTGGTTTTCTGAGTGGTTTTATTGAAGTCTCACAAATGTTCCTTCCAGGGCAGGCTTTGAACTGAGATCCTTAGATCTCAGCCTCCTGAGTAGCTAGGATTACAGGCGTGAGCCACCAGAGCCCTCCTGGCCTCAGTGAGACTCTTATCTCCAATTAACCACACAAGAACTGGAAAGTGGCATTGTGGCTTAAGTGGCAGAACACAACCCTTGAGCTGAAGAGCTCAGGGACAGTGCCCAGGCCCAGAGTTCAAGCCCGACAATGTAATATGGGGCTGGAGGCATGGTTCACGTGGTAGAATATCTGCCTAGCAAGCACAAGGCAGACCCTGAGTTCAATACCCCATATTAAAAAAAAAAAATCAGCTGGGAATGTGGCTTAGTGGTAAAGTGCTTGCCTATGAAGCCCTGGGTTCAATTCCTCAGAACCACATAAACAGAAAAAGCCAGAAGTGGTGCTGTGGCTAAAGTGGTAGAGTGCTAACAATGAGCACAGAGGAACTCAGGGACAGTGCCCAGGCCCTGAGTTCAAGCCCCAGGATTGGAAAAAAAAAAAAAAATCAAGAAAATGGGTAAAGAAAGGGATAGGAAGTTAATCAGTAGCCTGATGTGTAAAGCCCTGGATTCAATCACCAGCACTATCCAAAATAATTTCCCTTCCTTTAGTGAGCTTACAAAATACCCATACTAAGATAAATCCTAAGCCCATTTTAAACTTTTGAAAGGAAAGTAGATTCCAAACAGCAAAACATCCATTATTTATACATTGTGGATAGTCTTCCTAGGACTCACAAACATTTTCCCCTTACCTTTCCTGTGGTCTGTCCATAAAGTCCAAATATCTCACGGAGCTTTTCTTCACTGATAGCATCTGATCTGTCAATTTTGTTTCCCAAGATAAGGATTGGCACATTGGATATTGTTTCATCAGTCATTAAAGCCTAAAGGTAGGATTTAAAATTAAAAAACAAAAAGCTAAATGAAGAACCCATAAAAGCCCAACAGATTAATGAAAACTCTGACTTTTCCTGGTTTCATATGGCATCATATATGCAAAGTGAAAATCTGATTAAAATAATGCTTTCCCATTAACTGCCTCTGTTCCCAAGATAGAACTGTCCCAACCTCCACTCAGAGCTGGTTTGCTCAACTACAAGAACAAGCACTGAGCACAGACTTGGAAGAATGAATGCTCTGGCTACAGAACTCAAGGATATTATAGGAACTCCTGTACAGTCATTCAGTGCCAATACAGACAAAACACAACCTCCAATACTGACAGAGATACCGATAGTAGAAAAGAGCTGCCTTCTTTAAAATCCTAACTCTTATTATTTTTTTTATCCTATTTCCTCCAATCCTAAATTCTATATATGGTCATACTACCCTGAATGCACCCAATCTCATCTGACCAAAGTACTTGGCTGGGATAAATCCTAATTCTATGTTCATATTCATGTTAACCAAGCTAAAAAACAAAATGTAATACTTGACTTTCACAATGAACTAGGATAGACTACTAATACTAAAACAAGTTCAGGGAAAGAGAATGACATTTGGGTTGGAGAAAGCCTTAGCAAAGATATACAGAAGTATAAAGAGTATAAAGGAAGTATAGAGTTGGATAAGTGAAAAGGAGAATACAAGCAATGGCTCTGCAGCAAGGTAAGAACTGAGGAAGCCACACAGAGAATAACATGGCTAGATTAATGCCCTTACACCAACCTGCAGTGAGAGTAAACAAAATGGTGCCACATCCCACATTCTGGAAGTTAGCTGCATCATTCCCTAACAGAGACTATAAGTCCAGATGTGAATTAAAGTCTAGACCTTCAGACCTTATTCTAAAAAGGGTAAAAAATAAAAAAGGCTGGCAAGCATGAGTCAAGTGTTAAGAGAACCTTAGCCTAGCAAAGCACAAGGCTCTCAATTCAAACTCAGAAGTATAAAACAAGGAAAAGAAAAAACTTTAACAGCTACAGGAGGTGAAAGGAGGAAGCAGGCAGGGAATGGCTTCTACATATCCAAAGAAGGAAAAGGGTAAGCTGTTCTCTATGCTTGAAACATATTTGATGATACCCAATACAAAGAAAGGATGCTGGAGAAAAAGCAGCAAAAGGAATAACTTTCGTGCTTCACAAAAAATTTGTGGCCAGGAACCAGTGGCTCACACCTGTAATCCTAGCTACTCAGGAGGCTGAGATCTGAGATCACAGTTCAAAGCCAGCCTGGGCCGTAACTTCCGTCTTAACTCTAACCACCAGAAAACCAGAAGTGATGCTGTGGCTAAAGTGGTAGAGCACTAGCCTTGAGCTGAAGAGCTCAGGGACAGCATCCAGACCCAGAGTTCAAGCCCCACAACAGACAAAATAAAAGCGGGGAAGAAATAAAAAAGAAATCATCAAGCCAAGAAAATGAGAAACTGATAAAAAGAGAATCCTATAAAGTGAATTCTTGATAATATCAAAGGATTTATGTAAATAGACAGTTAAGGTCTGGCAAGTAGGAGAGAGGTACAACCCAAGAAGGAAGATCTGCAATGCCAATATAGAAGTACTACTAACTATGCTTGAGCAACAAGCATAAAGTATTGTGTCCTGAGCAGTATTAGCCATACCATTACACTATGACAGAAACCATCAAATTTATTCAAGTTCAAGCTGAGGTTGCTCAGGACAGTGAAAAACAATGTCACAGATTTTCAAACATTTTTTTTTCTTTTTGACTACAACTCTGCACACATGCTAGTTGGAATGATTAATCACAGACACTACTGAGCTACATATCATAGAAGAAAAAGAGGCCAAAAAAAAAAAAACAACAAAACAAAAAACGTACATTAAGCTCAACTTTGGATTCCATGAGGCGAGAATGATCTGCACAGTCCACCAGAAAGACAATCCCATTAATTGCTGGAAGATAATTTTTCCAAACCCGACGTGCTAAAAAACAAAGTTTGTAGATGTATCAACAAAAACACATTTTGAAAATGTCTACAAAATAGGAAAACTTTGGATGGTCTCAATACCTTAGATTTCCTATGGATTTCCAACTCCTGGCCAACAGGATGCAAGCTGATAACCCATACACTAACCCTGATTTCTGTAAATTTGACAAGAGTTTCTGCCTTCCTTGAAAAATAGCAACATGTGGTGGCAATCACATGCTTACCTACCTAAAAACCAACAATCAGCTAGAAGTGAACAGTGGCTGCCCCTTTAGATGAAGTCTGAGTTCTTCAGTTTACCAAAATGTCCACCATTTTCTAGTGTTACACCCTGACAATCTGACTCATTTAAGTGACCAGTGCCATACTGGGAGCCACTTGTTTACAAAAGCAGTAAAAAAAAAAAAAAAAAAATTAAAAATTAGTTGCCAAAAAAAAATCTTTAGTCACAAGTTAGTTCCAGTCACTCAACCTCTCACATTGTAGATAAAGTATTAGAAATGCTTTTAGGATTTTTTGTTGTGACAGGGTTTCCCTATGTAGCTCAAGCTCACCTGGAACCCTCAGCCTCACCTGGAATTATAGGCATGAAATGTTTTGTGACAAGAGGTAGTAAATGAAAGTAGTGCCTTATTTTATATATATATATATATATATATATATACACACACATATATATATATATATGTAATTTCCTATAATATTTCTTTTATCCAGGTACTATTAGTTTGAACTCAAAGACTTGAATTTGCTAAGCAGGCACTGTACTGCTGAGCTATGCCTCCAGCCCTAATTTCTTTCTTTTGCCAGTCCTGGGGCTTGAAGGCTTGAACTCTGGGCCTGGGCATTGTCCCTGAGCTTCTTTTGTTCAAGGCTAGCACTCTATCACTTGACCCACAGTGCCACTTCTGGCTTTCTCCGTGTATGTGATACTGAGGAAACAAACCCAGGGCTTCATGCATGCTAGGCAAGCACTCTACCACTAAGCCACATTCCCAGCCTCCAGCCCTAAGTTCTAAGCCATTCATTTCTAATCCTTACAATGGGGTGAAAAAGAAAGCATACGGTGAATTCTAAATGCAAATAATTTATAAGATAAAATGACACCTCCTTTGGGAGAGAGAACAAAACTACAAGTTCATTATACACATTTACTGAGCTCTTACCTTGCTCATGCCCACCAAGATCAAAAGTTGTAAACGTCATTCCAGCAATTGTCAGTTCTTCTGATGCTGAAAAATTGTGAAGAGGAAAGAAATTTTTCCAACCAAAGGCCCAACTACCATTACTATACAGTAACACTAATATATAACTTAATGTTTTCTCCTTGTAAAGATAAAGATACAGGAATGAAAAACACTCTTATTAACCTGTTCTAAACAGGTTCCAAAATTTCTTGTCCCCCTATGATGTTTTCCACTTTGTAGAAGCAGGTATGGGAGATGTGTCCCATTACAGAAGCAGTGCGAAGAAATAATGGTAAAGTAAGCAACCTGAGTATTTCCTATAGGTAACTTCAAAATGAACTGGCTTCTGGGATCTCAGTTAACAAAAGTTAATTGAGTATTCACTCTCCAACTTTCACATTGACCTTCAAAGAGCAGTAGAACACTTGCTTTGAGCTGAAGAGTGCAGGGACAGCACCCAAGCCCAGAGTTCAAGCCCCACAACCGACAAAAAAAAAAGGTCACCTGTATTTTGAAACCTACTTGGATGTAGTGTTGGAACATGCTGGCCCAATCTGTCATCTTTGAGCATGTGAAGAAGAGTAGTTTTGCCCGCATTGTCTAAGCCCAAGAACACAAGTTTCCCAGATTTCTTGTAGAGTCCTAAAGGAGAAAATAATTTTTTAATGTAAATTGTCTCTCCCCAATACCAAAAGCTTCTCACATGTAAATTGTTGGGGAAAAGGTACAATGTTTGAAACTACAACAGGGTTCAAGGAAAAAGCTTTACCTAGGAACTGGAGCACACTGCTGAAGCCATTGTAGATCCACTCAAAGATGAAAGACATTATTAATGCTTACTACCTGTATAAAACATTAAAGTAGCAACATTAGCTTTCTGAATGCCACCATATTACTAGAGAAGTTAACTTTTATTCCTGTATGCATGTCTACAGACTCTTTTCTGGCTGATCAAAGACAAACTAATCCCCGCCCCCCCTCCCCTCCAAGACAAGAATTCTGCCTTGGAAGAAGCTTCTAGGATCTGATGTCTACATTAGTTCCTGGTTTCCTAATTTTCAAAGTGATACTCAAAGAACTAGAAGTTAGCAGATATACTTTCTTCTTTTACTATGTGACTGGCTCCTCCAGACAGCTGCTCATTCACACTCCCTAGATATACCACTGTTGTCTGTCTACCAGTTTACGACACCTCTAAGAAAATCATTCTTATCAATAATCTGGATCAAAAGGCCAAATAGATGCACTAGGTAGGAAATGAAAATGAAAAGCATATTAACCTGAATGAAAATCCCATTAAGCTACCACTGTTCACAGTTCTAAAAAAAAAAAAAAATTCCAGGCTTGGGTGACTCATGTTTGAATTTCTACTATCTAGGAGGCTGAGATCTGAGGATCACAGTGTGAAGCCAGCCCAAGTAAACAAATCAGACAAACTCTTACCTACAACTAATCTGCAAAAAACAGGGAGTGGAGGTGGCTCAAGTGGTAGAATACCAGTCTTGGGCAAAAAAGCTAAGCAAGAGTACAAGACTCTAAGTTTAATACTGGTGGGGCATGCACACATGTGCGCGCACAAACACACAATCATTATAATAAAACAATAGGTTCCTAAGTACAACACAGTATTGATATTAACATCACCCTTCCTACTATTCCACAGGCCTAGACAAGCAATGTACAAAACTACTAACAGGTCTACAATGGTATTGAGCAACAGCCTCAAGAGTGAAATTAAGAGAGAAGGATCTAGAGAAATTAGTGACTCCTTAGGTTTCTCAGGCACATTTCCTGGTCACATTGAATGTTTTGCCTCTATCTGATTTAGGGAAGGGCGGGGAGGAACGTTATCACCATTTTCATTCCCCTCCCTCAGCAGGGGCATCTCAACACAAGATTTTTAATTAGCTATGACAAACTGCTATCTTTTTCTGTGTTGCCCAGGCTGGCCTGAACTCCTGGGCTCAAGCCCTCCTCCTATCCTAGCCTCTGAAGTCAAGACTAGCCCCTTTGCCCAGCCCTACCTGTATTCTTAGAAGAATTCAGGGTGGAAGGAGTACAGATAGCTCCTGTCTACAATCCTAGTTACTTCAGGAGGCTGAGATCTGAGGATCTGGGTTCAAAGCCAGTCCAGGAAGGAAAATCTCTGAGACTCTTATCTCCAATTAACCACACACACACAAAAAAGGCCAGACTGAAGCTATGGCTTAACTGGTAGAGTGCTAGCCTTGAACAAAACACACTAGGACAGTGCCCTGAGTTCAAGGACTGGTGCATGCACCTATGCACTTACAAAAAACACATGCACACAGGCACACACACAAGAATTCAGGCTGAAGAGGAAACTGAATGTAAACATGGGTTTTTTTTCTCCTTTTTATCCAAAAAAAATGTGTTTTTATCAGGTCTGTGTGTGGCCTCTTAACACAGGACCTACTTAATTGCTTACTTTCCTCAGCTCTTATCATAGAGGGAACAAACAAAGTGGGAGTCTGGGTAGTGATACAGATTGAAGAAAAAGTTTTCATGAAAAGATATAACTAAAGTTTTGTTTTACCCTTTTCTACTGAAAATATTTTTTGGAAAAAAAAACAGTTGACATGTTAAATAACTTTTTTATCTGGAAATGTAACACTGTTAAGAAATCCAACTAGTTGGGGCCAGGTGTGGCTCAAGTGGTTCAGCAACTGCCTAACAAGTATGAGGTCCTGAGTTCAAACCCAAGACTAAGAGCAACAACAACAAAAATAAACAGGAAAAGAAGTATAGAACCTTAAATATACTTACAAAGGTCCTATATTTCTGTTCCCATTTCTGTAGGTAAATAGAAGAATGTTTTCTCTGGCCTTGATGGCTCTTCCATCCTTGAGATCTCAACATATCAAACAACTCATCCGTGGTGACAGAGTTTGTACACTACCTGCACATACATCTCAATTCATCCTTACACCAACTTAACCGAGCAAGGACCACTGGCCTCATTTACCAAGAGGAAGATGCTGACACTCCTAGGCTAGCTAGTTTGTCCAAACTGCATTGCTGACAAAGTAACAGTTCTAGGACTTAAATCCTCCTGTTTTAACACCAAAGTCAAAGCCCTTCCTGTTACTATAAAATTACAAAATTGCTTTTAAAAAAATAAAGGAAACTTACTTCCTATAATACACCAACTGCACAGATAACCTCTAAAGCCTTTATAACAAACACTTTTTGAATGGTATTCTAATAATTAGCATCTTACTTTCGTTTTTTCATCCACTTTATGGCATTATGACAAGTAAGAGTACTCTAAAACTTAAGGGCTCTGAAGACCAACAAAAACACTGCTGTACCTAAACCAAAAGCTTGCAAGTTTCAGGACTGACTGGTTCAACCAAATATAAAGGATAAACATCAAAATAACCATTAACGAAAAATTTACACATTACTTCTTACACACACTCAGAGCAACTTGGAAACACCATTCCAGACAGTATCTAAGCAAGAAGGCAGCTGGCCTTTAACTAACAAACCCTGCTTGGCTTGGGGGATATAAATGTCAAAGGTCATCAGCCCTACAGCAATTCTTCCTAAACCTCAAGTATCTTCCTGAACAGATGGATTCCCTTTCGAGGGAAAAGGCAGGATGAGCAAGGGTGCAAGAGGCAATCTGGTGCGATCTTCACCTCCAATAAATCATGCGGAAAACACTAATCTATGCCAAACGCCCAAGAGTAAATTTTTCCATGCACACCGGAGAAAGGAAAGAGGGAGGGAGAGAAGGAAAGCCAGGGTTCGAAACAGGCCATCAGAAGACAAGAGCAAGCAAGCTTACGTGGGGAGGAGCCCTGAACTAGGAGCCTGCAGACCTGGTTGGGGCGCTCTCACCGGCTGACCGGGCCTGGGGCCTTGCTGGGCCCCAAACCCTCCCAGGGTCTGTGAAACAAGGGGGAAATCACCGAGGAATCCCACCACCGACGCAAGGCCGTTTTGTGAACCCAAGCCCGGTCTGTTACCCGGCCCAGCTGCTGTAAGGACCCCCAAGAAAGATGCAAGTGGACCTATAGCCTCGAGGCCGGCGGTCGCAGGAGCAGCCCCGGCCCAGCCGGCCCGTCTCCGCCCAGAACCAGCCCCAGGGCCCACAAAGCCGCCTGCGTGTCACTTCTCCTCCCCCCCCCCGAGCCCCCGCCGGGCTGGCCTCCGCCCCGACCCTCTCCGCCGCCCACCCCAGAACCTCGGACCCCGGCTGCCTCCTCCGAAAGGCCCCCAGACTCACGGCCCGAGGGTCTCCTCTGGTGGCGGCGGGCGGCTCCGACCCTCCCTCACAGCGCACGGACCAGCAGCTCCTGGGACCGCCAGCAACTCACCGGATGCACGTCACCACACCTCCCCAGACACTTCCGGGCGCGTGCTGGTCTCCGCCCCTTCGCAGCGTCCTGACGCTCTCCCTAAGTACCGCCCTACCAGCCACTCAGGCTTTGGGGGCGGGCCGACGGCGTGACGTATGCCCTAGGGGGCGGAGCTTGGACCTAAGCTTTCATCGGGCCACACGATACGTGGCACTGCTGGGCTTGGCTGAAGGGAGCGCGTGCGCGTGTGTGTGTGTGTGTGTGTGTGTGTGTGTGTGTGTGTGTATGTCTGTGTGTGTGTCTGTGTCTGTGTGTGTGTGTCTGTGTCTGTGTCTGTGTGTCTGTGTCTGTGTGTGTGCTTGTGTGTGTGTGCGCTTTTGTGCATGCGCGCGCTTTTGTGTGTGCCCACGCTTTTGTGTGTGCTTTTTTGTGTGTGTATGTGTCTTTTGTGTGTCTTTTGCTTCTAAAATTCAGACGGGAAAATAAGATATAAGACTAGTAGTGCAACAAACAGGCTCCAAAAAAAATCTAATGAAGCGTGTCCACTACTAATTAAAAACAGCACAAAAAAGACAAACCAGCTGGGCTCTCTGGTGGCTCACACCTGTAATCATAGCTAACTCGAGATCCTCTAGGTTTAGAAGATCTCTGAAGCCAGTCTGGAAAGAAAAGTCCTCAGGACTCTATCTCAAATTAAATAGCAAAATATCAGCACTAACCAAGCAAGCCGTGAGGCAAAGTTCAAACCCCCAGTACACCGCACACACACACACACACACACACACACACACACACAGATGAGCCTCTTTCAGTCCATCTCAAGTATGTGAAGAAAGAAAATTAAAATGGCACTTAACATTCTAGCAGTATACAGAAGGACCTAGATAGGCTAGCTCACCAGCTTCTCTGCTTCTTCATCCTGTAGGTTTTTGGATATTGAGTTTGAATCTTCCTCAGATACAGAAAGGGTTCAAGCCATATTCTGAGGTTTTTTTCGCCACCTTTGGGCAAATCAGGGATTTTATGGGACTAGGATCTCCAAAGTTTGCAACCCCAAAAGGAACAGATCTGCCTCAGTGCTAACTAACAGTTTGGGTTACTGGTTCTGAGGGAAGCTTGGCTGTAAGAAATATGGTAGTTCAAGCCGGGCGCTGGTGGCTCACGCCTGTAATCCTAGCTACTCAGGAGGCTGAGATCTGAGGATCGCAGTTCAAAGCCAGCCAGGGCAGGAGAGACC